ACCTTCAAGCGAAGCGACGTCCGGGTAATAATAATTGTTAGGGTCTGAAGCCCCAAAGCACGGATACATGCTTATGAGAGATACGGTATATATACAATGGAGAGCTCCGGAAATTCCGTCCATCGGGGTTCTTTAACGCACAAGCAAATCTATATAAATGCGCGGGCTTCCAGCATTTCAGCTCGCCCGAAATGCGGCCACCGTGGCCGTGGTTCGATCCCGCGACATTACAGTCCGCAGTCGAGCCCCGTAATCAGACCATCGTGGCAGGTGAAGCTGCGTCTTCTAACCGCTGCCGGAAATACACGCGTCGCTGCAGAATTTCGAGCGTTCCAAAATAAGAATTTTAGACACCCCAATACCGACACCCTTTAGAATACCGTTTGCAAGCGCTGCGAGCGTTTCGAACGCAGCGGGCGCCATAAGAGTTTTAGAATAGCGTTTGCCCTGCTGCGATCCGCAACCCACGATCGCAGCGACACCGTAGCCTCGAAACCAGCACTTCCGGGCCATATTCGAGCCATCATCACCCCCGAAGCCTTGAAACCAGCGCTTGCGCGCCACATGCGGGCCGCCATGACCGCACGAAATTTCGGATTTTTTGCGTGCGGTCCGCGAACGCAAACTTGCGTTACGACGCATGCGCAGTGGCGGCGACCACACAGCAAGGGCTCGCGGTGCGCTATTCTAAAACTCCCTAATAACCAAGTTGCACAGCTTCGCAATGCCAAACATATATAAGCGCAGTGAACCCAACGTTAATGAAGTCGTATATAAGGTCACGTCGGGTTTACAACCACACCAAACAAACACTTATATGAGCTCAAAAGTCGCAAAGAAACTCACGATGGACGACGATGTGGATGTTCGCCACAGCGCAGCAGAGTCGTCGAAGTGAATTACTTACTACACGCTATTCTCAGTGCGAAACAGTTGCAGCGTGCAAAGAAAGTTCTTACGCGGCAAACACACCTTTGCGCGAAGTCGACCATTGCCCAGGGATATAATCTAAACGCGGTTTCATTGGGCGTATAGTTATCGCAAAGCGAATCCAAGGTGTTGAAAAAAACAAACAAATATTTACTTCAAGAACACTTGTACATACGACCTAATCACATATCTTGTGGTGTGGGTCTTCGTATCCTGGCAATAACAGAGAACGAAATACGTTAGAAGGTTTCATACTTTTTGCTTCATGTATTATCGCGATTCGAGTAAAAGGAACCAGATAATCAGAATTTTACAGCAGAACGTGTCTAACTGCCGTTCAACAGGGATGCGCCGATATAAAGCAGTACAGTTCCTTCCTCGCCTCATTTCGGACCCCAAAGAATGGCGTAACGCAGGCCACCACCAGAGCACGTGTTTCAAAAAACGGAATATGTTAAAAGGTTTCGTGTTTTTTTTTTTTTTGTATGTGTTACCCCAATGCGAGGGGGTACGGGAGGGTAAATGGTATATGTCAGTTTTAGCGTAACAGCTTAGAAACCGCAGCAAGTATTCCCATGAAATATAACGCGCTCACAAAAAATACCACTGCGTATCAAGTGACACCCTCTTTGTATGCCTAGGTTGCTTATCCTCCTTATGGCCCACTCCCAAATTTTAAAGAGGGTTCACTCATTCAATGTACCTTTTCTCTGCAACTACAGAAAGGATTCTAACCATATTCAGCCGTGTTGTCATAGAGACTCAGAGGCTACATCTGAACTAAAAAAAAAAATGTCACATTTTTCGAAAAAGTTCTCGTAAAAAAAATACTGCTTTCACAACGCCACGGAGGGTGCGCATTGCTGTGTAATTTTTTAGAGCTTCACTTTTTATAAAACCAGCATTTTTTTTTTCGTTCGGGTTGTTTCTAACTCGTTGTAGCTCACGCGTGCAACGTTTCATCGAAATCAATTCAATACTTTTTGAGAAAATGTACATTGAAGTTGAAAAATGCACAAAAAACGCGATTTGAAAAAAAACCGCAGTTTTTACGCACGCATACTGCGTACGCAAAGGGCGCGCGGCATACTTCTGCGCGTGATTGGCATGATTAAGAAGTCCGCGTTAGAGATCTATCGAACATTTAAGCGGGAAATTGCCAAGGAAAGGATCTATGATAACACTCGGGGTAGTTCTCTATTGTTTGAGGCCAGGACGGGGTTATTGCGAACCAAGACATATCGGGCCAAATACGAAAGGGTATAGACACGGTATGCAGCGCGTGTGGAGAGGAAGAAGGAACTGCCGAACACTTGATAATGTTCTGTAAAGGGCTTCACCCTATAGGTCAGGATGATGGCGCAGAGTTTATCAAAACACTGGGGCTTAAAATTTCAAAACCAAAAGGCTGCCGGAGTGACGTCAGAGATTGGGGGCCCAGTTGCCCAACTGAGCATGCTCAGTAAGACTTTTTTTCCCACATCTTTTATTCGGCCCAATCAAGCCGCAGCAGCTGCGAGAGCGGGAGCGTTGGTTCTCCTAAAACGTGAACAAAACACGGGCTTTCCGCCACGTTCGCGGCGTAACTGGGCCCCCACTCTCTGGCGTCACTGCGGCAGCCTTCCGGCCTTGAAATTTAGTCGGCGTTGGGCTTAGGCACAGTGAGTGCAAAATAGACTTTAAGCAGGTAGAATTAACTAGAAGGGGGTTATCTGATTGGTGGCTAAAGTCAAGGCACGAGTGAAAATTAAACCCTTCACAGCAAAGTACGAATCCTCAACCTTAAGGGAAAAAAATAAATCTAGTTTTTGGTTCATTAAGTATTACGGCTTGGTGGCGCTAGCCACCGCCTGATCTAAAGGGTACAGCCATATCCATCCATCCATCGATCGTGGCATTTAAACAGCTTGGAGCGGGCGCTCGAGTCTCGACGTCGCTCTTTCACAGGTTTGTTCCTCCAAGTACAGTGAATTTTTTTGGTGCCAAAACTAAAAAAAATCAATTTTTGGGGAGTTAACCCTACCCTGCCCCCTTAAAAGAACCAGACAGTCAGATGGGATCTGCGTGCTTAGTAGCAGATGTCTTCGAATTGAGATAGACTTCGGACAGCCGTCTTTTCGTGCATGGCGTGCCATATTTCAGCGCGGCGTATGAAGGGCTAGGTTCTTTAGAAAATTATATCTATGCTTTTTCTAGTAAAGGAGCACACCAACTAATACTTCCGTATTAACTTTGAACCTCAGATATGCACAATATTTGCTTTGTGATCGATATGTTCACAAGTATGAAAACAGTCACCAGTTTAAGATAGCTGGGCGTTCAGCAAGTGCTTACTTAAACATTGGTGGTGTGGCTGAAGAGTTTCGTGAAAGAGATAGAGGGACTAAAACTTGTGCGTTCAAGTATGAAAGGTAATCTTCTTCAAAATAAATAAAAATTGGCGAAGCTTGCACTAATCAGCGCTAGCTTTGAAACAGAGACACTGGACGGTTGGTGATGCAGGTTGTTTCAATAGGCCTGCCAGCTATGAGCTTTAGTTAGGCGATGCTATAGGTTGTTTATATTGATTCCTAGCGCAGAAACGACACGGGCACCTCGTCGTTGGCGTAGGCCTTCCAGCGGTTCGGGGTGTTCTCGCATCCATAGAGTTTTCTAAAATCAACTCGAGGAGACTCTGGCGCTGCGATCGTTAAGCGACCATGGGAATTATGGGTGTGGCATCAAGTACGATAACAGAATAACGTTACCCTGCCGCAAACATTCGTTCAGACATCGCGTGTTTTAGTTTAGCGGAATATAGCTTTTTTACGTGGCCAAGCTGGGATGGTGGCGCCACCTAGCGGAGGCTGAAAGCGATAAAAAGTGAAAGGAGATAAAACTTTGAATGTCTGCCTGCATTTTTTAGAAACAATAAAAGCGTATAAATATGAACCATGCACCGAGAGCGAGAATTTTTATGTTGCGGGTTTGCTTACATCAATCTCCTACTTATGCCTAGGAACGTTCGAAACGGGAAGTGATCTCAAAAACAAAGCTGAATCATTCGTAATACTCGGTCGTCGAAGCTATCTGAAAGTCATTTTACACAGTCATTTGCTACAAAGGAGTGCATCCGCCCCCCATTATCTGCAAAAGGCCGAAGCGGACGGGCGGACGTAAACCTTTTGCGAAGCGGGCGGGCGCGCGGCCTACTCTAATAGAAGAGGTCATATACGCAAACCACGCAAACAGCACGGTAACGCTAATCCGAAACATAGCGCGCATACGGTAGACGTTACGGGTCCTTCAGCATACAGCTGCGTACTGCGCATTTCAATCCCGCTATTTCGCTACGTCCGCTAAACTAAAACTGTCTAATGATAATGTTTGGTACGAGGTGAGCACGGAACTATGTGCTACACAGATTCGCAGGTAAGAATAATAATAATAATAATAATAATAATAATAATAATAATAATAATAATAATAATAATAATAATAATAATAATAATAATAATAATAATAATAATAATAATTTTAATAATAATAATCAGCCTGCCCATTGCTGCAATTCATCGGTTCTGAGCTCATTCACTGCGACAGCAGACTATTTTTCCACGACGAAGGGTATACAGTGTATGGTTGCTTCCCGATGGCTCAGCGGGCATGTTTCTTCCAATCCTGAGCGACACACATACATACACACAGTCTTCCAACATTATTGGTTCGCCCTCTGATATACGTGCGCGTACGTTCGACGCTCGTCAACCCGAATTTCCATGTGCGGCCTTTTTCTGCCATTACCGCATACGTGCTTTTAGACTGCTTAGACTGAAAGACTGGTTTGTATAATCACGTCGTTTCGAACCAATCAGAGAAACCGTGGTAGCACTCTTCAGGGCTATAATCATGCAGAGCTGCCAATTTATGGTGTAATACCTGTCTCTAATCCCAACACAGCGGTGGGTGGGCGTTCCTACATTTCACATCCGTGTATATATAAATGCGGTCGGGAATCGAATCCGCGACACGAACAGCACACGTCCCCGTGCGTATACGTCGTCGCAGTTAAAAGCGATCGCTGCACGCACCTTGACGCTGGAGAACAACTTGCTGGCGATCTGTATGCAGGAGAACATGCGTAGCACCGCCTGGTCTTTCACCCTGTCCATGACGCTGTCCCACGATACGTTGGTGCAGCCGTGGGAGCCATCGGCCGATTGCGCGCGGAGGTCGCGCACGTGTTGCACGAAGAATCTGCGCATATCCACGAGTGACCATGTTACCTATATGGCAGGTGCCACAAACAAGCACTCGCACGCATACGCTAGGCACCCTGCGCAATGGCCGCACTGCGGTGTATGCCGCAATGGCCTATAACACCCGCGGAGAGCACGCGCGACCTCACACCACTCACGGCGCGGCTCTCGACAACACCATAGACTGGGTTTCGATGCTGTCATACTGGGACGTTAGCATTTGTGTTTTTGCATCTTTAACAACTGAAAGAACAGTGCTCCTGTAGACTCATTCACGCGAAAACGGTTGGGCAATTGGTGCGTACGATGTTTCACGACCCTTTTTTTTTAATTTAACGTCGATATACGCAAAAAACAAGAAAACATTGGGTTAAGAGTACAAGATGGCGGCGCCCACGTGTCTTAGGTAAAACAGTCAACAGCAGGTCGCGCCGTCAAACTCAGTCTTGACGAACCAACTCAAGCCAGGGCGATAATGTTGGGGGTCCAACCCATCTAGCCGCCTCCCCTTTTCGCATTATTTCAGTTCGAATCGTCATATTTGTATTTGTGTGTGTGTATGAGCACTTGTCTATACAAGCACATCACGAAACGTGTACAAAAGCAGGGTCGGACCCCTCGTCCTCCAAAAAAAAAAATCTGGCTCTGCCCCAGAGCTGGTCAGCTGGACACCTGCAGCGATCTCTGCGGAGCACACATGGAAACACTTTGCTTTTGTGACCGACCGCCAGCGCATCGCAGTGCTTAGGAGGTCCCCCCCCCCCCCCTCTACCTGGTTACGTAATTGACTCGCCGAATCACTGCGCACATGCCATGCTACGTTGTGACGGCCATGGACACGTTCATTGGCGAAAGCTATGGTTACGAGCATGCTTACACAGCCTATAAGGAAGCAACAATCGACACGCACCTGTCCAGGTACTCAAGCGCCGTGACCTGGACACAGACGGGCAGCTTGAGACTGATGCAAGCCTGGAACAGCAGCTCAACGGTGGTGCTCGGAGACAGGTAGTCCTGCATATATACGCATGCTTGTTGAGGTGCCGAAAATGCAATACCGTTCCGGGACAATGTCGCGTATTGCAGAAAGCGGACACGCAGATAAAGGCATTTGACATCGTGGTCCCTATGACCACAAGCATTCTTACGTCGTGGACATCTCTCTCGCGAGTGTTCAGGTCGGGACTGGCTTTGTCGACGGAGGTATAGTGGTTTGCGGACGCCCACCGCAAGAAGCAGATGTTAAATCCTTCATCGTCGCAGTCAAAAGTTGGAAGTGCACTGACGCACATGGCCCATCACACAGCAGTACAATTGATGTGAGGTGGAACCTGAAACCGCGAATGCACGCACGCGCAATCCGCCTTCCTCACATACTTGAGCCCGCTGACGACAATGATCACGCAGCGATTACACGACGCGGTTTCTGCATTTTTATTTAGCTTGCAACACAAAATTCATGTATATAAGCCAGAGTCCACACCCGTACCCAGGTATCTTTTTCGGGGTGGGGGGGGGGGGGGACCACTTTTTGAAGGCTTTGAGAAACAAGTTTTATTTGTTTTCAGTAAATCACCCCCTTCTATTCGAATTTCAGAAGGAGGGCTAGCCCTTCCCCCACCCTAGCTTTAGGCCTGATTCAAGCGCAGGTTGGTTTATGGCGTTTACGGTATACCACCGACTCGGGCTATACGAAAGACACCATAGTAGACGGCGCCGAATAATTACGAATGCATCGCTCTCCGCTTTCATATATATAGGCGTGCGCAAGATAACAGGTTTCACCACCTCTCCTCCTGCCTTTCGCGACCCCCACCCCCACCCACGATTGTGATGGAGTCACCCCAGTGCCTTCTATATAACATTGTAGATGAGGCACTGGGCGCCCTTGCGATCAGAATGGAGTGCAGATGTACATTAGAAAGGAAGAGGGGAGGACTGTACACACCTTTCTGTTGTCATCGCACAGTTCACGGGCCAATGGTATTTCGCCTGCATCGAAATACTACCACCGCGGCCGGCAGTGAAACCACAGCATTTGTGTCAGCAGCCGCAAACGCACGTCGGTAGTTCTGAACTATCTGCAAATAAATGCGTTCGTTCAGCCTCTGAACATCAGCGGTTTACAGCAGTGGTTTTATAATCTTCTCCCACAAGTACTCATCTACGTTACCACGGAAGGACCCTGAGAAAAAAAAACAAAAAAAAACTCAGCCAAGTTTTCTTTTTTTTTAAGTGTGGCATGATACTGGAATGAGCCTGTACAGACTTCAAAACTTTTGATCACAATGGTGGAGTGAGCTGCAGCGTCCCGCTGACCACAACTACAGCCCCCCCCCCCCCTTACCTAAACATGAATTATGTCAACCTGCTCTATTCCTCTCAGGGCAAATCATTAAGAGGGTGTGCGAATATATTAAATCGAAAGCCTTTAATGGCCCATACTGGCATCCAACCGTGCCCTGCAACGGTGCCAGCTGTGGGGTCTCTCCCTCACACTCTCTCGGATATCACGTGATGGCAAGTGGCGCATAGCAACAGTTGCGCCTCCGCAACTGTGGCTTCTCCGCGCCTTACACTCTACCGATCACGTGATCGCTGAGTGTAAAAGAAAAAAAAATATGGCATCGTCAGTCGAACGGCCACAGGCTTCGCCGATCACATTTTGAAATTTACAAAGTGTAGCTCAACTTTTTTGACTTTCGAATTTTAATCGATAAATACTTAACCTAATAATTCAAAGTTTCAAATAGCTAGCATTCGGCGTTTCGAATAATTCGAGAGAACGAATATTTAAAGCGCTGCAAACGTTAATTGCCCTATTTGGATTGAGTGGGGTAGCTAAACGCGATCGTCGTTACAGTATATAGGCTTTTGGTTAAATGTTTCACCGATACCTTGGTTCAAAGGCGAGCGAATGTCATTTTAAAGAATACTATTGATTTCTGCACGTCATGGCTCCATGACGTGCGGAACAGTCTGGGTGACTTTGGAAATGAAAAAAAAAAAAAACCAGCACACTAAGCTCAGGCCTAATAGTGAAGGGGTCCCGAAAATACTGCAATAAGTCACTGACCCAAAGAGCGGGTGGTCCAGACAGATCAGTTGGTGGGCTAGTTGGTACATTTCTTTGTATATACTGAGTATCTGCAGAGAAAAAAAGGCGAAGGCGAGGAAAGACACATAATCGGCGTAGACTGGCGCTGTCTACGAGGTTTATGTGTCTTCCCTTGTCATCGTTCCTTTGAAGTACACATGTTCAGTATATATCAAGAAAGGATGACCCTCGATTGATTGATATGTGGGGTTTAACGTCCCAAAACCACCATATGATTATGAGAGACGCCGTAGTGGAGGGCTCCGGGAATTTCGACCACCTGGGGTTCTTTAACGTGCACCCAAATCTGAGCACACGGGCCTACAACATTTCCGCCTCCATCAGAAATGCAGCCGCCGCAGCCGGGGACCCTTTGAAATGGAAGAACACAGAACTGCACTGTATCAGGAGTGTAGCCAGATTTTTTTTTTTTTTTTGGAGGGGGAGGGGAGAGGCGGCAGCCCCTTGAAATGGTCATTTTCCGCTCTCTATGCCATGGCAAGAGAGAGAGAGACGCAACTTCATTAAAAAAAAGTGCGGCGAGTTATTCGGGGATTCGGGCAGATATCCCCGCCTAGGTATCGGCCACGAGCCCTTAAGCTCTGGCGGCGGCCTCGACCCGCTGGACGGCCCACAGTTGGTCTTTGAGGGCATGGCTGAGCAGAGCACTCTCCCAGCGCATTCGATTGATTGATTTGTGGGGTTTAACGTCCCAAAACCACCATTTGATTACGAGAGACGCCGTAGTGGAGGGCTCCGGAAATTTTGACCACCTGGGGTTCTTTAACGTGCACCCAAATCTGAGTACACGGGCCTACAACATTTCCGCCTCCATCGGAAATGCAGCCGCCGCAGCCGGGAATCGAACCCGCGACCTGCGGGTCAGCAGCCGAGTACCTTAGCCACTAGACCACCGCGGCGGGGCTCCCAGCGCATTCGGTTCGAGGCTGCGTCCTCCCCTGGAGTCCCACTTTTGCCACACTCCCATAGGATGTGTTCCAGGGTTACCCCGGCCTCGCAAAACTTTCAGCGCGACGCATAAAGCTCTGGGTAACAGAGATTCATGATCGCCGGGTTTGGAAACGTCCTGGTCTGCAGCTGTCGCCACGTGACCGCCTGCCATTTGTTCAGTTTTTAGTGTGGTGGCGGAAATTTGCACCTGGCCAATCTGTAATGCTGGGTAATATCTTTAAAACTGGTAATGCGATCCTCCCGCTGCCATTTCTCACCCGACGTCGCGGCCGAGGCGGCGGATGACGCAAAAAAAATTACATCATGTCCCGCTAAAGGGAACCACGTGAGGATGCGAAGCAGCGGGGAGATGGTGAACGGCACCCACAGAAGCTCGCCTCGGTCATCGACACAAAGGGACCCTGAAACGATTTTTGACGATTTTTTGCAAACACATTGGGCCTATAGACCAAGTCTCAAGGGTTTTTTAGAGATCGATTTGAGCTCTCTGCGTAAATTGTAAAATTTATTACAACGTTTTAGAGCTACGAATCACTCCAGATCGCTGCGACTCGGCCAAACGCGTTCTCAACCGTCCATACACCAAGCGACGCGCTCCGCCCCGCTGACGTCATCGTTTCCAGCTGATCTGATTGGCTGCGGATGGCGCAGCGCAGACTGCCGGTATCGGATCGGCAGCGGAAGGAAGGAAAAACTTTATTTGCAAGGGTTTGGGACAGGGGCCGTGAGCTTGATGGGTGGGGCCCCAAGTCCAGAGCTCCAATGGCTGCCGCCGCCTGCCTGACGTTACGCAGAAGTGCAAGCTGCACCTCTGGGTCAGAGCTGGCGAGCTGTGCCTCCCATTGCTCGAAAGTATTACAAAGCTTGACCTAAAAAGGTATCTAAATTTGGTGGTCGGTTTAGGCATCCCCACGATATGTGGTAGGGCGACGGCGAGCCGCCACACCACGGACACGCATGCCCAAACAGCGTTGGAAAAATTTTGTGTAATCCTTGAAGATTGGGAAAGACTCCCGTTTGAATACTCGTGATATTCGAGGAGCCACATTTTTTCAGTTTTTTTCTGCACGATTTGTCTCCTGTAGCATGCCCTTCACCGCATATGGCACAGTTCAGGGCACATTCGTGTCCTTGAGTAGGATCACACGTTGGCGTTCGAAGTCGGGCATACATCGGTTCTGTGTCCAATTGATCGACAAATCTTGCAAACCTGTACAGTATGCTTGTATGGATAACAGATCGCCTCTGCACCCATAAAATAAACACACCGGGGGAGCACGTTACCCGTAAAAGTTATTATTGCTGACTACGAAGAGCCCAGCATCCTGGCTCTCTCTAACTTCACCCCTTGTGTCCGTATTCGTAGGTTTGCCATCAGGTCGGCCTGAGTGGTTCGGGGCGGTAGTCTGTGAACGATGCCTCGCAGCACGTCTTCTGGGTCGGCCACGTACGCATTGAAGGGGTGAATCCGTCCTCTGATTCTCAATTGGTTGATCTCTCTCAACCTGCCCGCCCCTTGTTCGTGTGGCATGGACAGTATTATGATGTTCGATCCGGGGTGGACCCGCAGCAAAAAAAACTTTCGCCTCCAAAGCTGTTCCGGCAGGCCTCTATCACTGCCATAGAGAGCTCCGATCCAAATAGATTTTTCACTGTGAGGCCCTTGTGCGGTCTCAGGATAATCTTTTTGTTTTCCTTTAGAAGGGGCATCGGTCCTCGGCGTTTTCTGCGCTGGAAATCCCGCTTGACTTGGATGTCCCGTGCTGCTTCGACAGGCAGATATCCTGCTGACTTTTCGTTTTTCTTCTTTAGTCCCTTCTCGGGTTCTTTTTGGCTGTTTTATGGTTATTTTTTTTTCTGCGTGAAAGGACGGTGTGCCAGCCGTCCACCGTCCAAGTAAAAGCCAGACCCGCGTCGTCATCGTTCTTGTTATCGAGAGACGCGTTGTTGGGCGCACGCGCGTCGTTACTTGGTTCCCCATTTTACGAGACGCTACTCGCGTCGTTCGGTTGATTCTCCGACACCAGAGATGTGCCGGGAGGGTCTTCGTCGACGTCCATGTAGACGAAGAATTACTAGGCGTCCTTATGCATGCATGCTCAGTAGAAACAGGGGAATGGGCCAACCTCCGTTTTCCTCTGCGCAAGGCGTACAGTCCGAAAGGGAGGTTAAATGGCACCCACCATCGACTTCTAACTCGGTCAGAAAATGTCGGAGAAAGTCGGTCGAATGGTTGTGAGCCAGTCGACGCACACACACCCGTCGCCGCACCCCGCACGGTTTAGCGTCCCGGTACCGCCGACCGAAGCCGGTGATACGGTGAGCTGCGTTCGTGTACGTCGTGTCTTCCAATGTTGATAGTTTCTCGTGAAGCTGGTCCAGGTCCCAGATTTTGGTGTCCTTCGAATCCTCGCAACTTCACGAAAAAGATGACGCACTCTTCAAGTATACTTGAAAGAAATTTCCGTCTGAAAGCCGATCGGCAGCGGGATTTACGCGGTCTCACGCCACATTGTGACGCAGGTGCCGTGAAGGTGGAGTTAATCCCCGAGCGCTCGAAGGAAGAGTTGGGGGCAGTTGAGGGTGAAAGGCGGAGTGGCGGAGGAAGGTACCTTAGTAGTACTCGTGGCTTTGTTAATAATGGGTGTTTCAATTGAACTCTGGTGCCAATGATTTGCTCCAGCAGCGGTCTAATTAAAAACGAAATGTAAAAAAACGTTTCAGGGACATTTTAAGCAGGTTCACCAACATTCAGAACCCCTACCCGACTAACGCTGTGTGTAGCCGGTCCCTCAACGCACATGCCAGAGCCATCGAACGTGATCCCGTGCTAACCGAAGCAGATGTACTCTGTATTTCGGAAACGTGGAGTGCCGCAAGACCAACGACTGTACTGAGGAGGCTTTTCGTTGCCTTCGTCGCCGACTCACTCGGGAGAGGAGGGAGCGTAGGAGAGGAGAGAGAGGATGCGCATGCGCAATGGGCGCCCACACTACTGAGGAAGCATTTCGTTGTCTTCGCCAACATATGCTGTGGCAATGCCCCGAGTGGCGCGCAAACGACGGGCCTCGAACCACAGAAAAGCACTGGGGCAAACTCCTCACAAGTACCCCGAAAAACGAACCCAGCAGGGTTCCCATTCAGAGAGAGGGAAAGGCGAAGGCTCATCGCAGCAACCTCCCCCCCCATTTCCCTCCCTATTGGGTGAATGCATGGGGCAAACTTTGCGCCCGCACCCGCGCCCCCCTCCCCCAATACGCAGGCCTATGTATTCAACTGCAGCAAACGCCGTAACATCACGGCGAGAGAGCATGGAGCCAAGTCACGTAGAACAGCCAATGCTTCTGCATGACAACTTGTAGCGTTTTAATAGCAGTCACTCACCACGTCATGCACTCGATGAAATTAGAATTTTTCTTCATTTTCTTCTCTCTCTCTCTCTCTCTCTCTCTCTCTTTTTTTTTTTTTTTTTTGATCGCTAGGGCACGTTGCCGGGCTAGTCGGTTGGGGTTAATCATTTATACTGCTATAGTGCACCACGAAAGGACACAGAAGAGAGACACACACAGTGCTAACTTGCAACTAAGTTTTTTTTTTGCTATCACACATGCTATTCGCACAATAACAGCACATCGCTAAAACCTAGAAAACCACATGTAAAGATACACCACAGCTCATACATATGTGTCCTCACTGATAGCAATCTGCACCCATTAACGTCAGAGCGAGGATACAAGATGGCTCTTTTCTTCAGCGGCAAAGCTAAAAAAACAACTTCTCTTTTATTTTGCCAATTTGAAAGGCTTCGATTAGTTTTGTTCTTTCTTTCAATTTTCGGTAATTTTTTTGTATTCGATATTTTGGACATTATTCGGCGCTATTCTATTCGAGTTTGATACGAGGTGAAATGATATTACCCGCAAAACGCCTACAAATCACGTGTTTCAGCAACACGAATCGTAAAACGCTACGCAACGCGCTACGGAGCCAAACGATAACACGATGAAATACTCACCAAATAATCTTCCGGTTCGCGAACTGCTTCGTCGTTTTGCTTGGCAAGGATGCAGAGCACATCCTGGAGAGTGTCGGGATCGACTACGGGCAATTCCTTCTCCAAGTAAACGGTGTCCTCGCGTTCCGAATCGGAACTTTCGTTTGCCATTGCACTCGTGAACTGGTCGCGAACTTTCACCAACGGCACACACTTTACGCACTTCCGTTGCTTCAGACGCTGTGGCAACCTATACAACGAGCTTAAGCACGGTAATTAAGCACAGAGACAATACCCGAAACGTCGTTACGAGAGACACAGCGCGACAATTGCGCAGTTGGCGAACTGTTGAACATCCTTCTGCACATGACAGCGTCTGCTACTGGTCAGCTTGTTGGCCTTCTATGCTAAGTTTCGCGTCGTAAAGTGCCGCTTTCAATTGTCACTTTTAAAGTTAGGTATTTTTTAGTTTCTAAACTTTATCGTCATTAACGCGACTCCACAGTCTCACTTATGTGTTCTGGAAAACATGCACTAAAAAAAAAAAAAAAAAAACACGCGAATATTTGTCTTCGGCTGTACTTGACAGAAGGTGTGAGCACGCTCCAGCAACCATGGCAATGGCGCTATTACAATTTGTTGCAGACCGCTTGCAAGCGTGTGTGGAGTAGTTTATTTGCGATCTTTCTTTCAACTTTCGCTGTCTTGACTGCGAGGTCACAGTCATGTCGCAAACGTTTGGCCGATGCCAGCGTCTTCTATTACCGAGGATGCTAACGCTATCCTCTCGATCGCCTCCCAAGGTGATTTTAAAACACCACGCCGACACGGGACCTTCGAATGCTGGGCGTTAACTAGTTTTGAACTCACTTTCGTTTCAGCTTCAAAGTTACGAAGCCTGCTTCGCACGGTGTCGCAGGGACTTCGCTACCAATAAGCGAAATCCAAAAGACAAGAAAGTGGTACGTGCTACTTACGATGTTCGCGAATTCACGATCGAATGGAGTGAAATTCTTGCACAATGCCGGACTACGTTTTGCGCAGCCCATCACGTGGAAAAGCATGGGCATTACTTTCGCCATCGGTGGCTGCATATTAGCCGGGATGATGTACGCGAAGAAGAAGAAGCAGCAAGGTAACATGCATGATGGCCCTGTGATCTCGGTACTACCAGAATCGGAACACATAGTGTCGATCAGATATAGAAAATGGGCTATTTATACGGATATTATGGAAAATATTACTAAATATACGGACTATCAGCACCTAACATACCCCTGGAAACCTCAGTGGAGTCAATCTAAAAGTTAGAAGTTATTTTAACCAAATTTCGATGTCGTGTCCCTCCATTAAACTTTTACTTGCACAGAGCTGGTCTGGCGATATCCCCCCTGTGTCCATTCTGTGAAGAAACGGAAACAATAGAGCATTACTTTATAACATGTAAAAACTATTCATTAATTAGGAAAAGACTTTTAATTGTTCCGTTTCAAGCAGTAGGTTTAAATTTAACTGCAGATAATGTTCTAAGTTTCGGTGCCTTTAGCTTGGGACATTGCCACAGGAGCGTATTCGATGCTGTATGCAATTTCATTCGAGAATCAAAGCGCATGTCATAATAATGCCTGCTTAAATATATTTCTGAAGACACTTGTCTAATTTTGAATGAAATTTGCATATTCATTTGATTGTGACCGGGTGAGATAAGCTCGATTGTCTGGTCTACTCAAAATTTCTGTCTTCCACTGTAGTATTACCTCACCTTTTCTCTTCTTGATTCAATCTTCAATTATTTGTTTAGTTTAATATTCCTTTTTAGTTAATTATTATTTTCTATTACATCATTAGTTTTTTCATTAAGGATAAACCTTTTAATATATCTCATATAGGATACTTCTAGATTTCATGGCCAATCCCCCATAGTGGGTATGTGCCAGTGCGAAGGGGCAACAACAACAACAACAACAACATGCATGCCTTTTCCTTGTTTCGAATGTATTTCTGGAGCTTGGAGTTCTGTTCACGAAAGGATAGCGCTGGAGCTGTCAAAGGTTATTCGCTAACTTATTTTATATGGTCGTGCAGCTTGAAAACAATACATTTGTCAGTCTTCTTGCGAGAAAGCGACAGTTCTCTTTCTCTCTCTCTAAACTTTTCCTTTTTCTAACTAGCTGAAGCTCAATTTTAAGAAGTTGCCTAGTTTCCAAATATTTTAATACACCTACTTGTGCCTTTTGTAATACTCTAAGCGATGATCGGCTTGGTGTGTCCTTGCAGGGAGTGCATATGTTTATTTAGTCATAACTGCATGCCAGCTGTTGCACTATGCTCGTTGTAAATGTTATGTCATTAGCAGGGTATATATGTTTTTATATGATAAAACCGTATACGATATGACTATAGGGCACACCGTTGTGAGGGGCTCTGGATTAATTTTGACCACTTGGGTTGCTTTGTGTATGGCTAAATTATAGCACAGAAGTGTTTTTGCATTTTGCCACTTTTGCAATACAGTAGCCGCGTGTTTAAATGCACTTAGTGGTGCAGAACCTCGGCTGCTAAAAGTGCGAGTCTTTGTCACAGAAGTGTTCGCCCCAGCCCGGCCTGCTCCTTGTTCGACCAGTGTTGACCACTTAGCATCTCTCTTCCTGGGAATCCAACATGTTTGGACTTGACTTACCTGATGGCAATAGTAAAATATAGTTGCTACAATGAATAGAAAGTTTGTGCAAGTGATGCATTTCTTAGTGAAGTGTATACCAAATAACCATCTGGTGTGAAAGGTATGTGAATGAAGCAAATTACATGCCTGCCAGTTAAAATGTAGTATGACGATTCAACGTCTAAATGTTTCCCTCTTTCACATTACTGATGAATAGCTACAGCAATGGCCAATGTATGGAGTAGCGAGCATGCATATATGTCGGAAAGGTTGTGTTGTATCTTGTTTATTGCAAGCAGTTTGGTTTGTGCATATAGCAATTATAACAGCAAACGCAGTGATAGGATAGCTTGGTGGCGATTACAGGTGCTGGATTCCTGTCGACAGAATATCCTGTATTTCTTTGTGTGTTCAACTCAGGCACTCAAGATTTAAGGTGAATTAATTGAGTGACGGGTTTGTGCAGCCTTGGATAAGGAACGCAAGAGGGCTCTGGGAAAGGCGGCCATCGGAGGCAGTTTTGAGCTGGTGGATCACAACAATGAACCCAAGTCGAGCAAGGACTTTCTGGGCAAATGGCTGCTCATATACTTCGGGTTCACCCACTGCCCCGACATCTGCCCCGACGAGCTTGAAAAATTGGGCAAGATTATAGACATCATGGGTGAGTACAAGCTTCTCTCCACAAAGTGCAACCACTTGAAAATTGTTTCAAGCTATCGAAATAGTTCTTTTGTATAAACATACATGTGGTGGATTGAGCTTGTCAAGTTTCTTCTTTCTTTCGTGGCAGTAAGAAGACTTTTCGTTGCTCACCTGTTGCAGTTTGCTTGCTGAAATATAAACTGAAAGGCACAAGAATACTCTAATGTTGCACCAGTGGCAATGTTGTTTTTCCATAGTTGAAACTAAGAACTCCACAACTCATTGATTTGCAATGGAGATGCCTGGGTTAATGGCAGTTACGTTTCATCCGCAAAACACCTAGGAAATTAATGTAAACGTGTAAGTATGCTATCATTTTTCCAGGAACTCCTAGTTCCGTGAGGGCGTGCATTTTTCCATTCTAGCACCGTGTCCCTAACTTGCACTGTGAAACCAATGCCTGCCAAATGACATAGATGGCATACGAGACGAGTTCGCAGACAGCAGCAAGGAACTGAGTGGCAACGATGAACAAACATTCGCACTTGCGTTTCTCTTGCATTTATTGTGTGCTATTTCCTTGCTTTGCCTTCTTTCTTGCTTTCATTAATAATCCTGCACTCACATTATAGTCGCGATACTTTTTTTTTGTTGATGGGGCATGCTCCCCCTCGCTTCATATTCGTAGTCACATTATAATTGTGTAAATGCAGTCCTGGTCTTAATCTCTACACTCTCCATTTGACGATACCTCTGAATTTAGCTGATTACTGGGACAATCTCACCACCCGCAAGCTAAGAGTGCTTTTATGAGCCAGTGTTGCTGTTAGTAATTCACTTATGTATGCCTCTCGCTTTTTTTTTTTCTTTTTTTCAGACAAAGAGATGCCAGACATCCCATTTCAACCATTGTTCATATCCATAGACCCTGAGAGGGATGATGTGAAGGCAGTCAAGGCTTACATTTCAGGTATAAAAAATTGTTCATGTTGAAGAGTGCATACATTTGTGTAAAATATTCCCACATTCTTGGCAGAAACCACTAGAATAGCAAGCATGATTGCAAAGAAACTATAGTAGTCTGCAGAGCTAACTGTCAACTAGCAGCTGCCCTGAAGAATCAACGCTTTGTTCGAGAACTTTTGATCCACTTTCCTTCGAGCCTCTATCTTGAGTTGCGCTTCCTTTTAGCCAATGCCTCATGCCTTCCTAGTTCTTGTTTTAAGTTGGCCGACACAATTTGTAGCTTTGTCTGTGCTGCATGGATTTGGTGAGCTGAAGTCATAGTTAGGTGCAGAGGAAAGAATGACAAAAAGAAAAAAAGAAACAGCCTGCTCATTCGCTGCTCAGACAGCATGTTTGCATGTGCAATGCAGTGCTGTGCTAGCTCGGATGCGACGTGCTTACTGTAGATGTACTTTCATCGGCCATGTTGCATTTTGTTATGTTCACTTCCAGTCTTTTGGGAGGACCAATTCAATAAAAATTGCTGCCTTCATCTTTGCTTGATTGCCTGGTTTGTTCTCACAATTATCCCAGAGTTTCATCCGAAAATCTTGGGCCTTACTGGATCTAAGGAGCAAGTGGAAAAGGCGTCAAGGGCTTTCAGAGTGTATTTCAGCGCTGGTCCTCGGGATGAGGCTGATGACTATATTGTAAGTAAACGTGATCAGATAGACTGCCTTGCTGCCGATTAAAAGCAGTACATACTTGTCATTAAAGTTTGTCAGTGGCTATTTAAGGATACTGTAATCAATAGTTCCGCCTCTCAGCTTAAAATCAAAGGCCAGTCGCATATAATGTGACATTTGAGTATTAGGGCACTCTCGTGAAAACACATTATTGTTGAAGTACACTCACACACTCTGCGAGATTAGACTCACAAGTGAACAAAGTTGCTTTTTCTATAACTGATTTCGCCTTGGCACCTTGCACTGTCAGTACAGCATTGGACGATTTATCAAAGTTAAGTGCAATCAATAAGTTCACCCTCCTACATATGACAATATGTTAGTGTGCAATTGTAATAGATATTATGTGAACACATATCAGGTCTGAAGGAAGTCGGAATACCATTTCTGTGAAAACATGTACTAAAGCTGCAACTTGAAACATCTTGCTTGACATGACACACTTTTTTTTCATTATAGCAGAATGCTCACCAAAATAAAGCCTGTCGGCCCGTTTTCATTAGTTGTATCCGCGCTATCAGATATTAAGGTTTTACCGTATGTGTTGGATTTTGTTAGTTGGGGCCATCATGTGTGCAACAGGCACCATTGCTGTTCTTTGAAAACGTGCGCCAATGCTACTAAGAGAGGTTGGCTATGTGTTTCAAGAGGCAGTGGCTGCTTCATAATTTAAAAGACAGTTGCTAATGTGCAAGTTTTTGTACGCTTTCCAGGTCGACCACACAGTCATCATGTACTTGGTGGACCCCGACGGGGAATTCGTCGACTACTACGGCCAGAATAGGACTGCCAACCAAATAGCATCGGCTATGCAGCTTCAAGACGTCAAGTACAAACGTGCCAAGGGAGGTTCTTGGTTTTGATCAAGCTACAGGACTAAAGTTTTTCTTGTAATGCATGCGTGAAAACAGCTTGAACTGTAACATTGTAAATATGGTATGTATATACCAGGTTAGTAAATCTCATAAGAATTCATGAATAAACAAGAATCAGGGCGATAGTATCTTCTATCGAATGTGCACGACAACTGCGCCGTATAAAAACAAGATACCACCGCCTCGGCACTGGTACTATACGTATATTGCTGGAAACACAATAAGAGACATAGAACAGAGCACTCGCTCAGCCTTGGTGGTTTCGTATGGCCAATACTCAGTCGAGATGTTTGAGTTTCCTTTTCTCGATTGTAACAGCTGTGCATGACATAGCAAATATATTTATTGCAGAATAAACAGTCAACGAGTACAGCTACTTTTTCCTTCAGTAGCATGTGTATCTAATACATAGAGGAGCCCAGGCTATGCTAAAACCACCTTCTTACTCCGATGGACCTCATTATTGATTTCCTGCAAAGTGGAACTGTAAGTATGCACTACTCGTTCCATCTGCAACTTAATGAAGCCTTGGACAACACTTCGTATTTGGTGAAAAAACACATACAGCAGACACTGTTGTGAACAGCTCAGCTAAATCTTGCAGCCATGCACACAAAGGAGAGTTCACAACTAGAACATGAAGTTCCAACTTCCTCAAGTGCCTTCTTTTTATGCAGAAACCCATAGACGGTTCTCAGAAGGCCGCTATACAGCAGATTTTTTGTCACAACAAATTTATGCTAGAGGCCAGTAGCCAACATAAACAAAGAACAGTGTTTGGATCGGGCGAGCTCTTTGCCGTTGGGCACCGCCATGTTATGCGAATAGCACTCAGTAGCGTGCTAGAATTGCGCAGTAGCAACACTAACACACACCAGAATCACAGCGGGTAAGAACTGTCATATTTCATGACTCACGCATGACATAGCTTCTTTCTGTCTTGTCATTCCCCCCCTGTGTAGCTTTCAGCTTGCTTGTCAGGATGAAATGGAGAGAAAAGTGAAGACGTGCGGCTAATTCATGTCACTACACTCCTGCTCGATGGATTCTAAACATTTTTGCAACAAACAGGTTGTGAGGCAGTAAAGCACGATGCTGAGCTCTATCTTTGACTACTTGGAAAAGTTAAAACTGCCTGGGGAGAACGTGATGTTCACTATAGGAACCGAGACCTTGGTAACAGAGCGAGCATATTTATTTAACAAATATATAACAATATTTTCTTTCTTATTTTACAAGCTATACTTACATAAATTATGTACATAAACACAACCCGTGTGCATGCACTTACGTAGTAAAGTGCATGCAATGACACCAAATGAGACTTACGTCTCATTTGGTGTCATTGCCCGACGCTAACACGATACCGTGCACTAACTAAAGAAGTACACAGAGTCCAACACGTTTTCCAACTGGAAGGAGCCTGAAAAGACAGAAAGACATTATGAGTAAACGCAAATACGCAATGCTTTGCAACAACGCGTGTGCACAACAGGGTATATGTTGTCACATTCAATGTCGTCCGCCATCATGTGACCCCCAACAGAAATACTTCTGGTGGATGTCTAACAAAAACATCCAGCCTGTGCAGGCTACAGCCTATGTCCGCAAGTTTTCCAAAGTCTCGCTCTCTTAATCTCGGGCCATCATCCTCGACAGTGTTTATCTCTCCCCGGCACTCATCATCACTCTAACTTCCCTAGCTCGGCAGGGTAGATTAGTGGCTAAGGTCTTACGCGGCTGAGCTTGAGGGCACGTGTTCAATTTCCAGTCATATCGCAGTCGGGGTAAAGTGCAAGAACACTCACACCGACATGTTTAGGTGCGCGTTAAAGAACACCGAGAGGTAGAGAATAATCTGTATGGTACCCCGCTACAACGAGCCTCATAATCGCACTGTAGTTTCGTTGTGGAGGCAATGATCTGGCTTCTTCAATTCTGTACAATGTGTGAAGCAGAAAGGTCCGTTGACTCATTACTAAACTACACACGAAACCACGACTATGGTTACAGGACTAGTGGTCATGCCCAATCAAAAGAAAGAGCCGTTGCGTTGTCCCTAGTGTCAGCAGAAGCAATGGGTGCACTTGTGATTTACGATGATTTTGGCATCGTGCTCGCATGGTAATAAAATAATAGTGGTAACTAATGCCACCTGGTACTTTTTAAGGTGAACTGAAGGCACTCATGGGGGCCTTTAAGATCGAGAGTCCTGTCGTGGTACTTGCAAGTTGCGGCCAAGTTTGCGAGTAACGCAGGAAGCAGCAGGCTGGTAGTTCAAATTGTCCAGTCAGATTTATACGTACGTGGCAAGTTTCGGGACTGCGGCAGTTCTGAAGGTTACCAAGGGTTTCCGATTCTCCCAAGTTTGAACTACCAAGGTATTACACATACACAAAACTCAGTGTAGGGCTCTAGTACTCACCTTTCTCAGGAATCTGTTTAATCACATTGTTGAGCTTTCGCATAGCCAATTCCGCTGCTTTGTTGACTCGTGCCATCTCACTGCATGACAGAATAGAGGTGGCCCAGAATGAGAAAAATTTGGGGATGCGCAAATATACCAACTTGAATATTTTTCAGAGAGCGTTTGCGACTAACATCCTAACTTTGGAATATTTTTCAGAGAGGATTCGCTACTTTATTCCATTCGCAACGGCACTTTACTATTCGAACTTTCCTATGACAAATACAGGCAATGTCCGATTAACAGTAGCCCCTTTAGATTTTCTTTTTTATATGTTTCACCCCATCATACCTTTGCATTGCAGCGAAGCTGCCTTCATTACTCTCCTACGGTCGCAAATGTATTGACAGAAATTACTAGTTCCAACATGGAGATGCACAGCGCTGTTAAACGGGCCGAACGGCGCAGCGCATCTATGCGCTGCACTGCTCAGGGGCCCTTATTATATTACAAAAACCCCCTTTATGTATTTTTTAAATGCTTCACTGCATTACAGTCTGGTATTGCGGCAAAGCTGGTTTTAGGGCTCCGCTGCAGCTGTAGATGGTTCAACTCGCGAAAGCACTGGTTCGAACCTACGTGGCAGAGGTAGGGGCTTTAATTGATGCTGTTTCGAACCAGAAAGTCCGAAAAAATTAGACAAAGATTTTCAGCCTCTGATATTTCATGTTTTTATACATTAATGTTTACAAGGCAGATTAGCAACTCAGAATTCGAAGGGAGCATGCCCTTGTCCACCAAATGAGTTGTGCCTCCACAAAAGTTGAAGACGGCAGAGGTGGAGAAAACGGCATATTTTCCTTTCCTGGGCAAAGTGTTGATGACACCACGTTGGTCACACCAAATCAAGTACATAAATACCATTCAGTCCCTGCATTGCCTCACCCCTGATAAAACAACTAGGGAACACCATCCCTCCAGCAGTTCACCAACCTACCAAGAAGAAACGCTTCCATATTCCAATGTCATAAGAGTGTACTTAATAACCTCTGCAACATTTTTTCTGTAGTTTCACTTCAAAGTATACGAAAAAAGATTAAACAAGTATTTGAGAATTATTTGAAAAAGACTTCAATTCACACTCGAACTTTAATATTCGAATTCGCTTCACACCCAAAATTTTGCTAATCGCACAGCTCTAGAAAAATTATACACATCAGGCATCCAAGCAGGCAAGCAAATAGCTCGGCAAACCAAGTTTAGTGATATTTATAGAGAGCACACCACCTGCTACACACAGGAAGGAGTCATAATAAGTGGCAGCACTAAGGTACAATGCCCCTGGCACACTACATATGCAATGCCATTTGCAGCGAATGTGACTAAGTGTTAATGCCATTTTTGTTGCTGCTACGCGGACACAGTGACTAACATTCACAACTAATGATACTCGTTCATTGAATGCGTTTGCCGAACACATGCAAGTGCAACATGTGTAATCTCGATGAGAAGAAGTGCAACAAAAAATTGCAACATTAATAAGTTGAAGCAAAATGTAATCAAAGTTAAGATTATTATTAATTACTGTTGTTAACTTTTAATCACGTTTTGGCATATCACTCAGTACTAGAAGCCATTTTCCTAGTCTCTGACATGGTGCCAATGACACCTGTCTGCCACGTTTTAAAGCACCCGTTTGTTCTTTCTGCTTCAATTTCTCCAAGTTTTAATTTTGGTGAAACAGTGCCGTGATAGCAAGGTCGGAACATCACATGCGATGCCCGCCTGCAAAGCAGAGAAGCGAACTGAGCAGTTTTGTCAGCAATAATACTAAAAAGCAAAAAGCGTACTGCCACGATGACAAACCACGATGATGATTGCGAATGCCGTTCTGTAAAACCGTGTAGACCAGAAACGCAAGCCCGCAATTACGTTAAAAATTAATGCATTCACTGCGATGACATTACGTAAGACGAGTGACCGGGTATAAACCGGCTCCAATTCATCTTGTCACCGCCACGCCACAGGCAAGTGCGAAGGCGCAGGAACAAACACATGTGAAATCACCAACAAGGCAAACGTGAAAACTCGCGTACACTAGGGACTCACAAATGACGCAAGAGGGGTGCCCTCACTAATGCTAAGAATGCTCTGTGAAACACTTTCATTATAATGTTACGATGTTTTACATCTTGGTCATCATCATCAGTTGCATAACAGACCCATATGCAAGCTGAACTTTGATAGTGCTAACAAAGACAAATTGTTTCCCGGATAAATATGCATGTTGCTATCACACGTCTAGTGAAAGTTTCTTTGCTCCATAACTGATAACACTTTGTCACAGTTTCATTACCTCCATGTTTTTTTAATTCTTTGCATTATTACAACACATAAAATGACCTTTTAATGAGCTTTTAGTCCATGTTTCTCATGTATTTTTCCTCCCCCCACCTCGTGTATGGCAAGTGCTGCTTCATTGAAATCAATCTCACGTGGCTTGCCATGCATCACTGACATGCTGCAGCGCTAAATAGACAGGTTTAGAACCGTAGTTTGTCAACCATGACTTACGACCGACTCACCCAAGTTTCTCTTCTATTGCCATTTCCTAGCGAGTGTTTTGCCGTTCAGTGTTCTAATATTTAGTGCGTGGTCACAATGGCGCTCTCTCTAAGTACAACATTTTCACGTACTAGCGTAGAAACTTGCGTTTCAGCCCTAATGCAATGACTGATGTCAGTGTGGCTTCGCAAACTCTCACCTACCTCTCTTTGTAGCCAAATGTTCGCACGAAGTGCTTGGACAAATCTTCGAGGATGGGCTCGCTGTGTAAGGCCACGAACTGCTCCCTGCATATCTGCCAGAGTTTAAAAAAGAAGATGTTGAACGTCTTTTGCCTAGGCGTTTGCTCTGAGCCATCAACGGGATTCAAGAAGATCAACAGGACAAAACTGGACCAGAGGGCAGGGCGAAATGAACTTTGAAAAACAAAAAAGTTATGTGAGTTACATATACATTAAGCCTTATGATAGCACTAGTGAAGACTTACTCTGCCATGTCTTGCTTGACTACAGCTGTAGTACCAGTATTCATTATATGTATCTGTACACACTAAACAGTGCCACAAATGAATACAAGAATGATACAGGAGTACCTATTCACTGATAATTCACGTGGCCACATTTTGCCGTTTGGAGCAAAGGCAGGACAGAAACCTTCAGGGCATCAAATAAAGCTGATGAAAAGATAAGCAAGTGCGATGCAAATTGAACTTCAAGACATTTAAATTTGTAGTACAGGGCATTCTATAACAACTTGGTTGAAAGCATGTATTGGCTAAAGGATCATTTACATTACACATTCTTCCTTCAATATGACTGTTGAGCCAGTTTTCGTAAGAAGCATTTACTGAACTGATGACACTGTAGCGGAAGCTGCTAAGCACCACCGCATTCTTTTCTATCCCGTCTGCAGCCGGCCGTCGACAGCGCGCCTACTCGCGGCGCCAGCTCCTCCTCCTCCGTGTTCGGGGAACAACGTGTTGTCGGGGCCGGCTCCGGGGATTAGACCGGCTGCATGCTACGTCTGCTCGCTCGGTGGCCCCCTTTTCCTCTTTCTTGTAGAAGAACGCGGGGGTGCCTCATTCTCTCCCTCGTCGAGGGGAGCTCTCGTCACTCGCACGGAGTGGAAATAAAGAGTCTTGCCCTGCAACTCCAAACCTGCTTCACGTCTCCTTTCTCGCTGCCTCCGGCAGCCGACATTTCCGGCCGCTACAAAATTGGTGACCCGAACGCTTCAACGAACACGCCGCAATGAGCTCCGACGACAACGCTGCTGCCTCCACGCCTGCGGTCATCGCCACAGAACTGAAGCTACCAAATTTTTGGCCGAAAAATCCAAGAGTTTGGTTCAGCCAAGTGGAGGCCCGTTTTCAACTCCGGCACATCACCTCGCAGTCGACAAAATACCTTCACGTCGTCGCAGCCCTGCCCCCCGAAATCGCCGACGCTATCGACGACATTTTGGTTTCACCCCCCGCGCAAGAAGAATATGACACCCTCAAAAAGACGGTGCTGGACCGCCTCGAGGCGCCTGAAAAAAGCAGACTGCAGCAGCTCTTGTGTCGCGAAGAGCTGGGCGACCAACGACCTTCCCAACTGCTGCACCGTATGCGGCAACTACTCGGTGTGCACGCGCGTCAGGACGGCCAGCTCCCACTTCTTCGTGAACTTTTCCTACAACGGCTCCCCCAGTCGGTGCGCGTGGTTCTCGCGGGTTCAAATGAGACGTCCCTTGATCGACTAGCGCAACTTGCCGATCGCATCACGGAATACTCAACTCCAACCTTTGCGCCCATAGCTGCTGCAAGAACACATGAGCAACCAGATCGACTGTCGCGCCTTGAGGAGAAACTGCAACACCTTACCGAGACCATGCAGAAACTTGTGCTATCTGGCGCTCCCCAACAGGACGAGCAACGACGCAACCGATCTCCTTCAAGACACCCAAGCTCTTCCCAGAGAAGCCATGCACGAGATACACAGTACGGAGTTTGCTGGTACCACCGTCGTTTCGGCACGGGTGCTAGCCGCTGCACTCAACCTTGCTCGTTTCCGGGAAACGCTCCGGCCAGTCGTTAACGGCGGCTTACGACATCGGCCCTCCACCCAGCCGCCTGTTTTTCGTAGTCGACCGCGTAAGCAACTCGCGCCTGCTAGTCGACACGGGAGCCGAAATCTCTATTGTCCCGGCAACCCCCGAGGATCGCCGACGTAGCAAGAACACATCGTCGCTGCAGGCAGTGAACAACACTGCCATCGCTACGTACGGCTTCCGCTCGCTGACAATAGACGTCGGACTCAGGCGCCTGTTTCGCTGGGTCTTCGTGGTGGCGGATGTTAATTTCGCCATACTCAGAGCAGATTTTCTCAGCCACTTCAACCTGGATGTGAGCGTACGTGACCGTTGCCTCAAGGATAACAACACATCCCTCAAAGTACGTGGTTTGGAGTCAAACATCTGCTCATCTGGCATCTGCGCCTTCCAGCCAGTATCAGCCTACCACCACGTCCTGGCCGAATTCCCCTCGCTCACCAAGCCCCGCAACACGGAACAGCCGGTGAAACATAACGTGACTCACCACATCGTCACCACCGGGCCGCCAGTCACCGCCCGGCCACGACGGCTGTCCAGCAAAAGGCTTCAAGCTGCACGCAGGGAGTTCGAGCATATGCTGCAGCTGGGAATTGTTCGCCCTTCGTCTAGCAACCATTCATCGCCGCTACACATGGTGCCTAAGGACGACGATTGGCGCCCGTGTGGTGATTACAGAGCCTTGAACGCATCGACAACGCCGGACCAGTATCCTCTGCCACACATTCACGATTTCAGCGCGCGGCTGGCAGGTACGAAAATATACAGCAAGATCGACCTTGTAGCGGCATACCACCAAATCCCCGTCGAACCGCAGGACATACCAAAAACAGCCATAACAACTCCGTTCGGCCTGTTTGAGTTTGTCCGCATGCCCTACGGCTTGAAAAAATGCCGCACAGACCTTTCAAAGGTTCATGGATGAGGTCACCCGGGGTCTTCCTTTCATCTTTGTCTACCTGGATGACATTTTGGTGGCCAGCAGAACGCCTGCGGAGCACGAAGAGCACCTCCGCCAGCTCTTTCAGCGTTTGGATGAGCACGGTCTGGTGTTGAAACCTCAAAAGTGCGTGTTTGGAGTAGAGGCGCTCAACTTCCTCGGCCACCACATCACTGCTGAAGGCATTATGCCATTGGAATCGAGGGTGGAATCCGTCAAGAAGTTTCCAGCTCCAACATCTTTTCGCAAGCTGAGGGAGTTCCTCGGGCTCTTAAACTTCCACCGGCGCTTCATTCCGTCTTGTGCTCGAGTGCTCCAGCCATTGACCGACCTGCTGCGCCGAGACGACCAAAAGGCACCAGAATTTTGTTGGTCTGACGAACACCAGAACGCTTTCCAGAAAGCTAAGGACGAGCTAGCCGCGGCTACCCTTCTCATTCATCCACGGCCTGAAGCTCCTACACGCCTCATGGTGGACGCTTCCTCCACATCGGTCGGAGCAGTGCTGCAGCAACAGGAGGGCGCCCAGTGGAAGCCACTGGGCTTCTTTTCGAAACGTCTGAAGCCTGCAGAAGCACGGTACAGCACTTTTGGAAGGGAGATGCTCGCAATATATTGTTCCATTAAGCATTTCCGCTACTTCCTCGAAGGCCGTGAGTTCTACATCTTGACAGACCACAAGCCCCTCACCTACGTATTCAAAAACAACAGTTCCTCCTACTCAGAACGAGAGATCCGTCAGCTCTCATTCATCTCCGAGTTTTCTACAGACATCCGCCACGTTCCCGGGGTCGAAAACGAAGCAGCTGACGCCTTGTCTCGCGTCAATGCTTCCAGCACAGAAGTCCTGGACTTCGAAGCTATGGCCGCAGCTCAGCGGGACGACCCCGAGTTGACAAGACTGAAGGGAGGGGGATCTTCACTCGTGCTCTCGGAGGTTGCACTTCCCTACGTCCAGAGCACGATAACCTGCGATACCTCCCAGGCAGCACCACGACCTTTTGTCCCACTGAACTTTCGCCGAGTGGTATTCAACACTTTCCACTCCATCAGCCACCCAGGTGTCCGTGCCACCCAGCGGCTGATAACGCAACGCTTCGTTTGGCCCGGAGTCAACGCGGACGTGCGACGATGGGCTCGGACATGTGAAACGTGTCAGCAAGTGAAAGTGACTCGCCACAATCGGGCTGCACTACAGGAATTTCGGACTCCTGAGTCGCGGTTTGACCACGTTCACCTTGACCTCGTGGGACCACTACCGCCCTGCCAAGGATTTAGGTACCTGCTCACATGCATCGACAGGTACAGCCGGTGGCCCGAAGCTATACCAATTGCGGACATATCAGCTGAGACCGTCGCGCAGGCCTTCATTCAAACATGGGTGTCCCGCTTTGGCTGCCCCGCCCGCATAACAACTGACCGGGGACGGCAATTCCAGAGCAACCTCTTTTCCGCACTTTCAACGCTCCTCGGCACGAAGCTGCAGCATACAACCGCCTACCACCCCGCCAGCAACGGAATGGTTGAGCGCTTCCACCGGCAACTCAAAGCCGCACTGGCAGCGAAACTCGACCGCCAGCACTGGGTGCAGAAGCTCCCGCTCGTTCTTCTTGGCCTACGCTCAACGGTGAAGGAAGACCTCGGCTTCAGCGCAGCGGAAATGGTCTACGGCTCAACAGTGCGCCTCCCGGGAGAATTCTTCTCCGACCAGACACCTTCCGCCCCAACAGCCTCCGATCACATCGAGAAGCTGCGCGCATGGCTCGCGCAACTCAGGCCAACAGCACCTCGCATCGCCCGCAACAGGAAAGTTTTCACTTTTCCTGACATGGACTCTGCTACCCATGTGTTCGTGCGACACGACGCAACGAAGCCGCCCCTTACTCCGCCGTACGATGGCCCATTCAAAGTTTTGGGACGTACTAACAAAACCATCGCAATCGACGTGCGGGGGAAACGAGAAGTCGTCGCCGTTGACCGCGCCAAGCCTGCTCATATTGAAGTTTCCATTCAAGCAGCCTCTCACGTACGATTTTAGTGCTAACCATTGGACTGTGACCTTTCACTATTCAGCCCGTAACTGCTGTCCTCCTTTAAAAGCTCCGCAATCTAGGGGGGGAGCCTTTGTAGCGGAAGCTGCTAAGCACCACCGCATTCTTTTCTATCCCGTCTGCAGCCGGCCGTCGACAGCGCGCCTACTCGCGGCGCCAGCTCCTCCTCCTCCGTGTTCGGGGAACAACGTGTTGTCGGGGCCGGCTCCGGGGATTAGACCGGCTGCATGCTACGTCTGCTCGCTCGGTGGCCCCCTTTTCCTCTTTCTTGTAGAAGAACGCGGGGGTGCCTCATTCTCTCCCTCGTCGAGGGGAGCTCTCGTCACTCGCACGGAGTGGAAATAAAGAGTCTTGCCCTGCAACTCCAAACCTGCTTCACGTCTCCTTTCTCGCTGCCTCCGGCAGCCGACATTTCCGTCCGCTACAACACCACTGCCCGCCTTGAGGCCAACTCCGTGGAGTCTTACCAAAACAGACGTGCGGGCGTCTCCACCCCCCACATTGTTGAGATCACACACATTAAACGTAAGATCAGCTTACATTCCGACTTTTGCACTTGCACAATAACCACAGATGCTATCACTCAATCAAAAACAAACAGTGAAGATCGCTTGCGAATCAGAATTGTGAAGCCTAGCAAATATACAAAGTGAGCAAAACAGCGGACGGCACTTCTATTAAGGTGGACACTACCTAGCATGCAACAAGCCTTAAATCTTCATTTCAACAATTAAAATAGAAATCACATAGTTTAAGATGCAAGAATTTTGCACAGACCTTATTCATGATGTTTACTGTGTTTGGATGTGTCCAGTAACAGTCGTGCACAGACACGAACTGTATTCCGGCCCTGAAAGAGGTAAGAGTTTACGTTTAATATCATTACTAATAGAAAATCAACATTATCACCAACACTGTAGAGTGGGGCTCACTTGTTGGCCATAAAATACCTTCACTAGACCAATATTAATTACAACTAACGGATAATGATGCCAAGGAAAGAATAGAGAATGTTATTAGTAATAATTTTAATGTAAATGCAAATGAAGAAAAGTGGACAAAACAATAACTTGCCACTGGCACGGACCAAAGCTGGGACCTTCTATTAACGCGTCTAATGCTCTACCAACTGAGCTACGACAGCAGTCATACCCCGCTGACTTTATGGAGTGTATATGTGCATTTAAACGTGCACTGTACCGCAGTTCACTTTGTACCTTTCAGTTCACTTTTTTTCACTTTTATTATTTCGGGCATACCATCGGAAATTATTCAAATTTCTGTTGTCATTGAGATGTACACAAAGTTAACATAGACGCAAAGCAATCAATTCATTAACGATAAAGGAAGCTACAAAAAGTAAAGTTCTTGCAAAGCCACCACTTTTAATGAGGTGTAACAATGATGTGCTCATGTGTACACTCGTGCACACACACATAAGTATACAGCATTTATTACTCAAATATAATTAATGTCAACGAGAAAAACAATCTGAGGGCCACAATAAAATCTGACGTGTGACGCTACATAAGCAAAAAAAAAAAAAAAATCGTAAGCGTTGCGACTACACTTTGAAACAGCCTTATAGGAGAAAACTCACTTCTGGCAAAAGATGGCTGTCAGCATCATGTGACTTGAGTCGAGCGAATGAATGAAGTTTGGAGGGAAGCCATTTTTTTGCTTCATCACGTTAGGTCTCCTGAGGGAAAGAAAACAGAGTAATAAATGTAGGAACATTTCCAGGCCAGATTCACTATTCGATAATGAAGAGCACCATAGCAGGTACCTCTGCATGAATTTTTACCACGCGGACTTTTGTTTTAATCACCATGTGACGCCAGGTGAGTTTATGTACAAAATCCACAAGCCTCACAAATCCCAGAGGTGGTATTGCATGATATGGCATACTGACTGGTGAACAGATGTCCAAGTCACCTCTCAAGAACATTTGTAAAAAAAATTACAAAACCACCTGTCCTGAGCTTTCTTTGACAGCAAACTACCATAGTTGCCAACTCTCCTGGTTTGCCCAGGAGACTTATGACTTGAAGCAATCCTCCTAAATATACAGGCATCGTCATAAATGTCTCAGAAAGCAGCCACAACTCCACCCAAATAAAGATGTAAAAGAAAGCAGATATAAAATTTCAGGTTTATCACCTGCGCAACTCTCAAGTCACTTTTACATCAGTACAGACAAATCGTGTGAAAAAGCACACTAAGATTCATAAAGGGCTACTATTTGTCGCTGGACACAGCACATTTTATCCCTTAATTACACATGCACACATGCACCATATATTTACAAGTACCAGTACAGCCACCCACATCTACAAACTTTACCGAAAATCATTCAGAGCTGTCTATGACATGTCTGGGGCACTGAGAAACATGAAAACACACCGTTTTTTTTTTCTATCGCATTCCTACCCCCAACTGCTTCACGAACTACCCAAATTTCGAAGTCTCCAGGAAGCACATATTACTGTTATTAAAAACCAATTTAACCAGAGCAAACCTTTACTGTACATGTCTAATAAGAAAAGATTTTGTAACAGTAAAGACTACGTTATACTTCAGCAACTTACTGGTGCATTTCGAAGATTGTTCGATACTCCGCACTTATCCGGTCACCCTGGAAAAAAAAGCAGAACGAGGAGAAGAACATAAAGCAACGCTATACAGCAGGCACAATTGGTATACAATGAAATCGCTGTGATACATATTACTAGACCAATGTTTTCATGCTACCACCGCTAACAATCTGGGATGGATGAAAGGAATAGCAAGTAAGTTACATAGGTGTAGACTTTGTTAATTGAACACTTCGATAAACACGCTACACTTCTTTATTTTTATTCAGAGCTTCATTGCTTCAATTCCCAAGCGTGCAAATAACGCTAGACAATCGCCACACTCAGCGGGAAAGCGACAAGTTTTGTGTCACAAATAATAAGGCATGTCATAAGTAATAAGGTAAATTACATCAATTACCATCTTTAGCATTACAAGTACATTTATGTACATTGAAATCTGGTTGTATTCTTTTAATTTGTTGCTAGATAGCACCACGTGTAACTACAGCAGATATTTTAGCAAAATGTAAGGTTAAAAAATGGGGAACAGAAACTGAGGGAGATGGCCAGGGCACTATCAGAAAAACTTGCCATAAAAACTTCAGAACTTTGAGTAAAGCTCCTGCCTGACAAGAATTTAATTTATTCTTACCTGATAACTAAATAACTAATTAAACATTTGTTCTTTAAAGGGACACTAAAGGCAACTATTAAGTCGACGTTGATTGTTGAAACTGCAGTCCATAAACCTCATAGTGTTACTTTTATGCCAAAGAAGGGCGTATTTTGAAATAAAATCATGTTTAAGTGATCCGCCTCAAGTTAGCGCGCTTCAAATTACCCGCCTCAAGAAGCGGACCGACTCACGTCACTGTTGCCGCGCACAATGCCACCCGGCTCTACTGCGATAGTAGCCGCAGACCGAAAGCAACAGGAGCCACAGCAGCAACAACGGCCATTGACCAATTTCTCGCCATTGGCTCCGAGATTGCAGACGTGTTTTGGTTAAACTGGGCTTTGCTAGATGGCACGACCTGTCCAGTTTGACCACACGAAAATTGAATTTTTGAACCAGTCGTGCCATTTCCCCTTTAGTAACGTCCAGCGGTTCTTTTTTCTATTAATCAAACAGAAACGATCATGCAGCATTTTATTGTCTCTCTTTATGCACGGAAAGTTATTTAGTGCAGCTAGATCGATTACTAGAGATTAATTGTAGGCGGTTAGTCTTATGTCATTGGGATCATTTAGAGATTGTCCTACTGCGGCGCATGTGTTCTTGTGCACTTACCTTGATTTCTCGGTAAGTAAGGCGCTGTTGTTGATAATACTGTCATTTTAGATATAGTCATACATGAAGCTTTCACTGTGACGTAAATTGTTATTTGACTTTAGTGTCCCTTTGACTTGCCACAAAAAAGATTTGAGTCAAGCTTCTGCCTGAGAATAATGTACATTTATTCCTACCAGATAACTAAATAATTAATAATTAATAAAGAATTTGTTCTTTTCATTAGATAACAGCAGTCCTGTTACAAGTGAACAGAAGAAAAAATTCTGTAGCGCTGAGGTTTCACTGCCACAATATTGTCACGGGGTTGTGACGTGGCCAAAGACAGAAAACTTCGTGTTGGGATTTAACTGTTTATTTGGGCGAACCTGTGCCCGGTAAAGGGAAAGTCTAATTACAGCAGCAGTCTTGCACAGATAGCAGTCTCGGACTGATAGCGGCGAACGCAGCGTCGGCCTTCGATCAACAACTGACAAGCGGCGAAGCGCGTCGGCATTTATACCCTTGCCGTCGAATGTTCTAGCGTTATCGCTGGCGGTGGCGTAGGTTCCAGAACAATCTGTACCGTTTGCACAGTGGGCGTGATCTTATCGAAATGATCTACTACAGTCTGGAACCTTCTCGAAACCTGCAGGCGCGGTTTGCGCCGAGAATCGTGTGGTGTTTCGGAACGATAACAAAAACTTGTGAAATGGAACGTGGCATTGCCCCCCTCTGAAAAAAAGGCATCGTCCCGATGCTTTAACTAAAGATGAAGGTACAATAATAATGCAAGAAAGTACAATGAATAAATTACAATACAACAATAATACAAAAAACACTGTTTCAGTTTGTTAACGTGCATGAAACGGCTTGAGGCGCGCGACATGGACGACTTCAGGTCGCGATCGGCGTCGTTGAGAGTTCGTGATGCCGTCGGGGACAACCTCGTAATCAAGTGGGCCGAGACGTCGAACCACCTTGTACGGTCCGAAGTACCGTCGCAGAAGCTTTTCACTTAGTCCACGTCGGCGTATCGGCGTCCACACCCAAACACGTTCACCGGGCTGGTATTCCACGAAGCGTCGTCGAAGGTTGTAACGGTGGCTGTCGGTCGTCTGTTGATTCTTGATACGAAGACGCGCAAGTTGTCGGGCTTCTTCGGCGCGTTGAAGGTACTCGCTCACATCGAGGTTTTCTTCGTCGGTGACGTTGGGTAACATGGCATCGAGCGTCGTTGCCGGGCTCCTTCCGTAGACCAATTTGTATGGAGATATCTGCGTCGTCTCCTGCACCGCCGTGTTGTATGCGAAGGTCACATACGGAAGAATGGTGTCCCAGGTCTTGTGTTCGACATCGACGTACATTGACAGCATGTCGGCGATCGTCTTGTTAAGCCGCTCGGTGAGGCCGTTGGTCCGTGGGTGGTACGCTGTCGTCCGGCGGTGCAGGAGACGACGCAGATATTGCATATCTGATAATCGTGACTTTCATTGTCAGCTGTGTTTATAGTAGTGTACTATTGTCTTAGTTTTGTTTAAGCCTTCTGTTATCTTTGAGCATGTTAACCTGTTGTCCATTTTACTGTGATTATTCTGATGTTGACATCTTCTTATGTATTTAATTTTTTATCATTGTAAAAGAAAGTGTAACACATGGTCCTCAAACTGCCTGCAGTGATGGTTTCGCAAAGATAATTTTGAGGCAACACACATATTTCTTAAATAAATAACAAATAAATACTGAGAATGCACAGTCAAGATTGAACAGACACAATCTTGAGATTGCTTTGCCTATGTTATCCAGCAAAAAAAAGGAAGGAAAAAGTAAGAATATGGAGAAGCCACAGGAACATAAAAATGTTGAGGCACACTAACACTGACAAGAGGAGCTTGTTAACGAAAGATGGGGGCAGTGACAGGGAAAAAAAATGTACTGCCAGAGGCAATCACTCACGTAAGAGATTGGGCTCTTCACCGAAGTAGGCTTGTGGTATGGCTGGATGACAGGAAGTCCCAGCGGAGTCACCCACGAGACGGGCTGACAGCACACGTACGCGATCATCTTGGCGCAAGCGGTGAACCAATCCTGAGGTCAACAGAGAATGCACAAATGAACAACAACGGAGTCACCATAATTGTCCTTGTTGATGGCCCACTGTCACAGCTGAAGAGATCTCCCATAATTCTTTTAAAATTTCAGAACTTATAATTCTACCATTTTTAACTGCAGTGCAGAAGCTATGACCTAAATGAAAATAAATTACGAAGACAAAAAACCACTCGTTCTAGAGGTGAGATCTCCACCCTCGGAAAGTTGTGGGTTTGGGTCCCACCTACGGAAAGGCTGATTTCTTGTCCACTTTTTTCACAATTACCACATTACAATTAGAGACAACAATTAATGTCCCAATGCTTTCTTTGACCTAATTGTGTGTTGGACTCATTAGGCTGTACCTAACATAATATTCATTAGACTGCTACACAAAACCAATGTAAAGCTGTAAAAGAAGTTCAAGGCAGAGCCACAGGCCCACCTGAATCTCGCGCGTAGCAGTGAACATCTGCTGAAGGGAGAGAAAGGTCTTCTGGACGAGGTAGTGGGCGGCTGCCCAGCAGTGCTCCTGGGGAAAGTTGTCCAGGTCCTTGAGTTGTTTCAGTATCTGGAGGTGGGCGCCAAAGCGGGTTACACCGTACACCACAGTCATCACCGTCTGTTTCACCACCTGCCAGGAAGGAAAGCACATGCGTTTCAATACACAGTCGCACCGAGCTTCAGAGGCAAAAGCTTCATGCCGCAAAAGCCAAGTAAGATGCAGTGAACACAGGCTCTTGCTTTCGCGATAGTCATTTTTTAGTTGTTCTCCAAAACATTGGAGGCGACCATAATGGTTGACTTGGGTGTCTTGCAGTGGCACTAGCGCCTCGGCGTTCGTGTGCCCTGGCGTTTGCCTGGAGTAAACTCATCACACTGCCGAAACAGATTTGAGGCCACATAGAAATAAAGAAGTGCGTGGTTGAGACGTGCTGCACCAGGTGCCGCAACAATCCCTACTGGTAACAAAACTATTTGGTCCTTCGATGAGCTCACTGAAGTCATTTTCATTAATCATAGTGACAGTCAAGTAACCCGTAACTTAACACATGCTCCAGTATCACATGTATGCAGTATAACTCGTAACTTGAACTAGAGCCATCACTTTGTACCAGTTTTATTTTTAGAAGACATTTTCTGAATATTCGAGAAACCATAAGTGATTGATCAGAAGTGCTTGGAAGAGCAACAAGAGGGTCGCTCAGTGCTTGTGCCACTAAACGGAAAATGCCCAGGGAGAAGTCTAATAGACAACTGCAAGATTTACATTATACCTATGCTACACTACCCTATATAAACTCTCACGCCACAATAAATTTTTCTTTAAGACTTCCATACACAAGTTAGAGAGATTAGCCCCTAATGCCAGGCTACGGAAAGAGTTTAAACTATTCAAATTCAAGGACAATGTACTCTATCAGTATAATTTCACCCGAAAGGTCATCGATGGGTTCCTGTCATACTGCAAGCTCTTCGCGCTGAAGTTTTGCAGGCTTCGCACGACGAACCAGCGTCAGGCTACTTTGGTCACCACAAAACCCACAAGCGCATCGAAAGTCGGCTCCCCTAGTCAGGTCTCCCCATGAGTGTAGCTATATACTCGTGCACACTTTGACAACACTGCAAGTGGCCAATCACTCTCCCAGTCAGGACTCAACAGCCACTTCACTGCCCAGCAGAGCTGTTCTCAGTCATCATAATTGACTCCTTTGGACCCCTCCCAACTACCCAAGACAGCAAGAGATGGATCGTCACCGCTGTTGATCACTTGATGCGGCAGGCTGAGGTGGCCTCGATCAATTCAGGAACTCCTTACAAAGCAGCAACCTTTTAGAACACTATTTACCTATGCCACGTGGCCCCTCACGTTCTTTCGAGTGACTGAAGCAAAGCAACTGTTTCAAGGATGCCTAAAAAAATTCTCGAAGTGTCAAACACAGTTCATAAGACAACATCTAGCTACTGCCCACCAACCAAACGTTTAATGGAGAGATTTCATCCCATGCTGTCTGATATGCTGTCCATTCATTCATGTATCAACTGTAACTGGGATGCGATTCTCCGATTTGCCACATGTGCGTACAATATGCCTGTTCAAAGAGCCACAGGCTACTCTCCGTTTTTCTTAGTATACGGATGTCAACCAGCTTCATCGCTCAACGTTTTTTTTTATTCTCCATCAACTCTTCACCATTCATTTGCGACCAGTCAAGTGTCCAGTGTTGCCCAAAGTAATCGTCGGGCTTGCATAAATATCGAGGCTAGCCAAGAAGATTGCAAACACTGTTACAATGCCACTCACCGCATCATTTTCTGTAACCCTGAAAATACTGTACTCCTATGGATGCCTGCAAGAACACCTGGTTTATGCGAAGACCTTCAGCATCACTATACTGGCCTCTACAAAGTTTTCAATCAGACCTCGCCAGGTGAACTACCGTGTCACACCCATTCGTGCCCCCTACTGACCAACCCCACAGCGGGACAGAGGTCGTGCATCTTTGAGACCTCAAGCGTTCCACGGTGTAATTCACGGTTAGGCTGGCTGCTTCCATCAATGGGAGAAATTAGCGTAGGCATTCAGGGGACTTCATATTTTTCGTCTGAAAATGACCATCATCAGTCATACACCCGGGCATCTTCTTCGTCCTCTTCATGAAATAAAGCCTCGCCTGAACCATGTTATTTTGATATAAGGTCAACAGACAGAGCAAGAATACCGACACAAGAGAAAATTGATATATGAAAAGGGAATGAAACACAAGAGGTTTGTTTGTTTTCCTGTTTATGTCACATTGTCAACCTCAGTACACTTAGTTGTACGCAATAAAATTTCTCACCTTCCTTTTGATGTGACCTTCCAGCACCTTGGCAATCTGCAAGCCATTGGCTGCATCTTTCTGTCTCTCCTGCTCAACCTGCGTAGAGAACATGTCACCTTTGTACCAGTTTGTTTTGAATTTGGTGCAAGCAAACTTTTCAGGTGGCACTGGCACGATAAAGCTTACTGAGCACGTTAAATGTGAATACTGAAGAGACACATCCACCAAGACTTTGACAGGCGACGTCGTTCCGTTAGCTCCACGTCACTCTGTGCTTCTTGATTTGAATGCTTGAAGTTAATGATGCAGGGCACAAGCAATAACATCATCTCACGCGTTCTTGCGCTACACATTGTTTGCCCGCACTTTTCCAAGTTTGCAATTCAACCTCATCATTATATTTTTAAATTTACACAACGGACCCCTTCACTACTTCAACTGCATGCTCGAAGTTGAAGCTGCATCATGACAGAGTTGCAGTTCACTGCCCAGCACAAAAATCGTAAAACAGGAGATAAAGCAGTGAACTATTAAGTCTTCCTAATTAGTATTGTTATATTTTTTTTTCATTTCACTGAAAAGTCAATCACGGCATAACAATAAACCCAAGTATCTACCCTCATCAACTCCATTTACTATGCAACAAGCCTTCACACTTTTTTTTTCTCCCGACTTTGTAAACATGTTCGTCGAAGCCTTATGTTTAAGTCGACTCTAGTGCACTGAGACTACCCTCATTCGATCGCTACTGATAACTTCAATGTCATAACTTTCACGTCATAACCTTCATGTGAACTCTTAGACCTGTATGAATTCCTTTTGAATTCGTGAGCAATTGTGACATTGCCACAGCACAGGCACGTTATTTCATGTGCCTTTGGATTCTGTCTGTTCTATGCTGAAAGGTCAGTTGTATATAGACTATTTTACGGAGGGGTCTCAGTGCCGCCATGTCGGGCTGTTAAACTTTACATCTTAACTTTACAGTTTTACATCTTTACCTAAATGAACAGGGCTACGGTTGGCGCATACGGACGAAAATAGTCAAGTTCGTGCATATGATGTTTCATGACTTTACTGATTTCTATCACAATCCACAAAAACAAGAAAGCGTCAATTTAACAGCCCAACACGACAGCACCCATATGTCTTAGGTGAAATACGTAGTCTTTACTGTACAAACCATCTATCACATCAGCGCTTAAGTTCTTAAGTTTAACACAACGCTTTCTCGAAGATGTGCCCTTGAAGAACATATATGAAAACTGATTGTACAGCAATTATGTATGAGTCATTGCCATTTTTTCTTTTTTTTTTTACATGTTCGTAAGGTGTTATCACAGAAGCCAGAAATGTAGGCCTGTGCGAATATTTGAAAGCTACGAATATTCAAATTTGTTTGGATTCGAATTCTCAAAACTTTCAAAGTATTTGAAATGAACGCGCAGATGTATGTTAGTCCACATATAACCCTCTGTTAAGGTGACTTCACTGTAGTGAAGGGGCACTAAATCGTATCGTGGAAACATTTTGCCAAGAAAAGTCCTCATTGCCGTGAAGCCCCACTTCAAGTTTAAATGAACATATTACTCCCACATCGATTGATAATTTTTTAAAGTTTAGAAGCTTGTTACACAGGCTTATATGCTCTAATTAGAATAAATTTTAAAATGTAACATATATTACAGGTTATAAATAGCACACTACCAAAAGTCAAATCCTGCTACTCTTCAAAGTTGTTTCCACTTCCTTTAAACCAAAAAAGAATAGCATTGGCACAGGCCTAGTTTATATTTTTCTTAAATATTGTACAGGTTACTTTGGTCCTGACCAATGTGCCCATCTTTTTTTCTTTTTTCAATATGTGATATATATACTATTCAAATTCGATTTGAAGTCATTCGAACAAGACCGCTATTCGCTTCAAACCTGAAATTCCCTATTCGCACAAGCCTACAGAAATGCATAAGAGAAGTAGTAAACACTAGCCTTCTATAACAGCAACAATAAGTCCTCTTTTTTTTTAATAACAAGAGCTGTTACGAGATTGCAACAACAGTTAATTTTCATGCCACAATTGCTTGCTGTCACTGGTGTCTGTACCAGCCATGGCGTACAAGGAGAAAAAAAAAAGGGTTCAAGAGACATTTGAACCCAGACACTCAACGTGGCTACTGATAATATAAACACAGAGCCATGGTAGTATTTGAAGCTCCTTTGCAAGTAGACCCTATGCAGGTGTGATGTCATGAAAGAATCACCTTAACAAATATAACATGGTAGAATAGAAAAATATGGTTTAAAGCTTCTCGTTACAACGTCATCAGCCACATCGTCATCAGCCACAGCACGAATAAGGTGAGCATAATGCTCCACAGATGTGTAGCTTGCTTCATTGCAGAATGATAAATAATGGCATATTGGGTACGTCCCCACTTCACAAAAACAACAATGATTTACGATGTAGCAGGTACCTTGCAAGTGTACTTGAAATGGTTGCCACATGAGAGTTTGCGACAGGTTTTTTTTTCCTTGCATGACACGCATTATTGCAATGATGCTCACTCACCAATGCTGCCACACCACTGTAGACATCCTGCGGTCTATCGGCAGGCTGCAGGTTAACCTGTGCAGCACCTTGGGCATCCCTGCCTAGAGCTGCATAGTGCTGCAGGCCATTGCAGGAGCCATCTTGGTGCACCGGGCAGGTAGCAGATGTGGCGCGTCGGATCGGGGGATCGCACGGCGGCCGCCACTTCCTTGCAACAGGCCAACGTCTGCCAGGGCTCGTCAGACTTGGCCCACCACCGCCGGCCCTAAGTTCGATAGGTGCCAGAAAACCTCGAGTTTGTTCGTGCAAACATTCAAAAAAACAAAATTGAGTTATCAGGCTTCACTTGCCGAACGCACCACAGCGGCTGTCTGTTTACTTGTTCATGCTTACTTTAATTTTCTGTAACGTTAACCTATTTTGCTGCAGCTTGGCTATCTAGAAATATGGAAAAATTGTGGAGAAAGAAAAGCAGTGCTGGCGCTAGCAGCAATATCACTTTACTCTCAACTACAACACATCCAAAATTATTATAGTATTTACAACTGCAGAATATTGTAAATGATATACGACTGTTATACAGTAAACCCTCGTTACAAAGAAGTAGCTTTATTCGAATTATTGCTTTTATCAAAGTGTTGCTTAGCCTAGACCCGAATACGTGTATTTCAGACCAAATTACTCAAAGCATGTCGATAGCCTGCTCCGCTTAGAACGAAGTAACAAGTTGCAGATGCGTATTCACGACGATGCGGACGAGCGATTGCCCACGCCGCCGAAGTGCCGGCAGGCTTTTTTCATCCACGTCCCACCTCGAGTGGCCTTTTCTGCGCTGCGTGAGTGATTTTCGTGCTAGCATCGCTAGGCTAAAGCGCGCCTGTGCAAACTGGTGCAGACAGTGCAAGACTCTCCACGGCGTGAATTTCCCCCTCCTCCTCTGTGCCGTACTCTGGTACCATTTGATACAGAGGCGCTCGAAACATGCCGGCTGCTCCTTGCTGCCACTCCACTGGCTAAGCCAGTGGTGTCATGTGACCAGTACGAAGCAGTGGCGTGCTCCCTGTTTTTTTTTTTTTTTTTTATCTGTGGTTGGAAGACACACGCGTGCATGTGTTGAGCAAGATCTGTGTGAACGCGTGATGTTGTGTGTGTGCATCGTGAGTGCTTTTAGTCGCCGTCAAGTGAACATGGCACCACCGGTGCCCGCACGGAAGTGTCTGACTTTGCAGCAGAAAGTTCAACTGATACTTAAGGTGGAAAAAGGCCGGCAGAAGTTTAAAATTGCAAGACGATTCGGAATACCGCCAAACATTATCAACTGTTCTGAAGAATAAGGATGCCGTAGTAGGTGGCTTCAAGAAGAGTTTCTCAGAAGTTTAAAATTGCAAGACGATTCGGAATACCGCCACCAACATTATCAACTGTTCTGAAGAATAAGGATGCCGTAGTAGGTGGCTTCAAGAAGAGTTTCTCAGCCAAACAAAAGCGCAACTGTGATTCTATGCATACTGAAGTGGAAAGAGCGCTTCTCGAATGACTGAAAAACGCTAGAAGTGCAAACCTTCCTGTGAATGGGCCTGCATTGAGCGCAAAGGCTGAAACCCTAGCCAGCCAAATGGGCAAGCAAGATTTTGAGTGCAGCGACGGCTGGCTTCAGCGTTTCAAAAGACAGCTCGGTGTGTCTTAAAAATCGATTGTTGGTGAAAGCGCAGCCGTGGACCGCGACCTATTGGATGGAGGGTGCAAGCATCAGATGAGTGCCCTACTTTAGCAGTATCAAGATAGAGACATTTACAGCTTAGACGAGGTGACATTCTTTTATAAACAAAGCCAGCTGACCGACCTTTTTTTGAGAGTGAATAAAGGTTTGTTTCACTGAATACCACTTCTGGGAAGTTGTCATGGCTAATTTGGCTGTACTTGCTGAGCTTTTATGAGGCAGTTGTGTATATCGAATCACCACTTATGTTGAATCTCTACGCTGTCTCGCTGACTTAGATTTAACGAGGGTTTACTGTATATAGAAGGAAGTGATAAATGCCGGGACAGACATGTAATGGAAGTAAACATGGCAACATAACATTGATTTTACAGGGGGCTCTCACCGTCATCGGGTTGTCAGCTGAGTCGAGAATTTCGGGCATCATTTCATTCGCAAACCGCAGCCTCTCAGACACAGGTTCCCTGAAAGGCAGAGGAAACACATTGTAACATTTGTGTGTAATGCAGACTAGCTGTAGCGTTTACATTCCTTTTGGTGTCATGCATTGATACTTGCCATCGCAGCTTCTCTGGTAGCTATATTCTTGCAGCTACTACTGTAAATACTACTATTGCCCCTATATTTAATGAAACTTTGCATTTACAATACAGTACTGCAGTAGGATGCAACCAGGTCACATAGGCAGTTCAATGAATACACTTTTCAGCATACTCAAACAAAGGCATGTAATGCAACGTAATCTATTCATTCAAAATGCCTTGCAGGCTCATAAACTGTGTTGATAAGACGAACTTCAGGAAATAATATGCAGTTTACACACTTTGCAGTCACAAAAAAAAGAAACAATGTTAATGTAGAATTATGCACTGTAGAAACAATTGTACAGACATAGCTTCACGATAAAAAAATAAAGGTCAAACGAGCAGGCACAAGAAGAAACACTGCATTGACAGTTCCATCCTCGTTGACACTAGTGGACGTACAGCCTAGTGCATTTAGAAAAAAAAAGAGGCTGCGGAACAGAAGTTTAAAATTGCAGGGTAATAATTATGAAATGGAAGCGCACAACGTAGAAGCAGACGGTCCCTGTCTTTCCGTCTGCTTCTACGTTGTGCGCTTCCATTTCATAATTAGTAATAATGACTATGTTACTACGTAAGAACAATAAAATATTTATAGTTTTTCTTTCAGTTTAAGTTTTTGACGCATCAAATTTACTTCACATTATATATTCACTCCCTCTCTTTGTCACACGCAAGCACCCCCCCCCCCCACACACACACACACAAGCACACAGACAGGAAAATATGCTGTTCACATGCTGTTTAACGAAGGTTCCATAAAAGTACAGAACTCTTCAATGAATGTGCCCATTTCGAGCATTACCATCGTAGACACAGCGCTAGAAACCTGCTATAAAGGCTCTCCAGATGAGCTGGAGTCGCAGATCGGCTTCAAGACTACCACTTCCAGCTCACGGCAGAGAGATGATAAAAAATGAAGAGTGTAGTACCTTTTCTTGAGGCCGGTCAAGTTGATAAGATGGATTTTCAGCCAGTCCAGGCCATTTTCGCCTAGCGGTTCACCTCTGGCAAACAGCAGAATGCCCCTCACAACGTCGCTGCCTGTGGAAGAGTTACACGTAATTCATCGATTAGTTTTCAAGCATCCTACTTCCCAATGACAAAGGCAGAAATATTCTGATTTGAAGCAAGAACGAGTAATTGCAAGCATGCATTGATGCCCATATCTCACACGTCCGAAATATTGTACATTTATTTGAGTTGTACATGTGTATACAGTCGAACTACGCTACAACGAACGCCGTTTCAATGAAATTCCCGCTAAAATGAAAAATTCATGGTTCCCGTCGGCAGTCCATAAATGTGAATGCACAAATATTGTAGCCGCAACAAACACTTTTTCTTTTGCCGTCCCACTTAAACGAAATTTCACAATGCAATTACAGGCTCAGATATTTATTGCTACTATATAGTGAACACAGTCTTTACCATTTTTGATGCACTTTCAGAAGTTGAAAATACGACGACGAAGTCTAAAACGCGCATTGGCACCACCAGAAATTGCCGCTGTTCAGCAAGCATGGGCGCTGCCAATGAGACTGCCCTGCTTTTGCCACTGGCTTGCTTTTGAGTCGCAGACGATCCGAAGCTGAAGCTCAGTCACTCAGTTCATGGTTCGCTTTCATGCAGCTGTGAGAACACGATGCTTTTTTTCTATGCCAATGCGTATCATTTCGTTTGAGCTTGGTCATTATGGTAACTAATCAGAGCAGCAGTTCATCTGCATTATCAACAAAATCAACTAGCCCCGAGTGGTGGATGATAAAAATGACACAGAATAAGGCAAAAGTCACCATTCCACAATACCCTGCCTCCATCTCGGCATTGCCGGATACACTATGAAGGTGGACAGCTGCTGGTGTTAGCATGTTAATGCAGCTGTTTGGTTCGTTCACGAAAGCGGTTGTAGGCGTTGTTTCAGCGTGCTTTTCAGCATGGCCTCGCGATGCATGGGCGATAATCTCGTTGTGACACTTCTGGGAAAAAATAGAAAGCAGCCGACACTTTCTGAATTTCGAGAATAAATGTTCCTTTGTTTTGCTAGCTCAGATCAGCTATATTTTTTCGATTTCACTACAACAAAATTTTTGCTTCCGCGCCCCGTCAGTTTCGTTGTAGCGGGGTTCGACTGTACTGCGACACTCACTGATATCATCAGCAGTTCCTAGCATCGCTGGATTATGGTACAGCCTGCCAGGTAACATCACTTCATTATCAAACCCTGATACATTCAATCGCCAACTAATCGTGCATTTTCACTGAAGTCACCAATTAACATAGCTGCATTTGTATATTTAAATATTCCATGAGTACATTCTTGAAAACATTTCGGTGTGCACACAATAGACGAAAAAAATCAACGGTGAGAAGATTAAGAGGCAAGACTTCTCGCCTTTGGTTTTTTCGTCTATTACGTGTGCGTAGAAATGTTTCCAAGAATGTTCTCAAACCAACTCGCCCGACTTTCCATACATTATATAACCTATAACCTAAGTATTATGTATGCATTAGTTATTACATTACACATTATATGTTCTGATCTCACGTACAATTCACAGTTATCTGTTTCCTGATTTCTGACAATTTCTTTTTCATATTCAATGTTGTAATTGTAACAACCCCCTTACAAAATGCCCTATGGGCCTGTAAGGTAATTCAAATAAAATATACTTGGTGACAGCCGCAATCTGTGCCCACCATAGCATTACTTTTGCTCTCTGCGTCCCCACAGACCAAACTATATTTAACAACAACTGGGGAGATCCAGAGTTGTCAATAAGGTATATCGCAAGAAAATACCATATATTTACTCGCATAACTTGTGCACTTTTTTCCCCCCGATTTTGGGGCCCCGAGAAGGGGGTGCACAAATTACGCAGAAATTTTGCCAGCGCAAATAAAATATTGTCTCAAAGTTCTAACGTGCGCAGTATATACATTTATAAAAAAAGAAAAAAACTGAAGCACAAACAAAGGGTACTTGTTTATTTTGAAATAACTAGCGCATACTTTGCCCATTCAGAGCCTGTCTCGCGCGGTCTAGCAAGAATCCATGATCGCGAAGTCTGATTGGGAATCATTGTATTTTCTTGAAGCTCTTTCGACAATGCTGGGAGAAACAAGGCCTCACAACACGGAAATACCGGAAGAACTAAGCATCTGCACACAATTGAAAGGGCTTCTCTTAATGGCAGGAACTTGCATTAGAAGCGCGCACTTTTCTGCTTTCTAGTGTACCGATCGTGCCGGTCGTCAGGTTGAAGTACATCCCCTGGACGTACTTTGCGACGGCACGCTTCCCGTTCTCCTCGGCAAAATTCACAGCAGGGAGCTTCAAATTTGCCATATATAGAATTACTGCAGCACATCGCAACGGAACCCTCAAAACACGTTGGCCAGATGGCAAAATACCTTCTAAAATTGACCAAGCGTACGTGGCAGCGCGGACACTGAGATCGAAGGGAACAGTTGGCGCGACAAGCCCTCACACGCCTCCGATGCAGAAAGTCGTTTGTTCTGTGACGCGAGCGTACATTCTAGCCATTACCGCAGTGGTAGAAAATGGAAGATAGGGGGACGCAAACACTCGAACACTTCCGGCGACCCGTCAACGGGTTCGTGTACGGGTGCGGTATTCTAGGGACCCTAGTTCGGGGAAGTTCTCAGAAGCAGAGACTTTGCACTGGCAGCCTGTTTGACTGCGCTCGTCTGCTCGATGAGGCGCGCACCCGACCGAAGCATCAAAAGGTCCAAAGGTGAGCACATTAGTGAGCTGGCTCGGGCAGGTCGGGGAGCGCAAAATATGCGGGCAAATATTTTTTCCCCGAAAGGCTGGCAAAATAATAGGGGTGCGCAAATTATGCGAGGGCACAAATTATGCACGTAAATACGGTAGCACAAGTAAAATTCATACAGTTGGACACCATGACACACGTGTGACAGAACATTTCCTTTCAACAATACCCGAGAGACACCGTTACTGAAAGCAGTTATTCCCCCACTCTGCCACTGAGAAACAGGTAAATGAGAAACAGGTTGGCTGGTGCATCTACACAACTTTTGTGCGATTCCAGCAGCAGTACATTTGATCTGCACACTTATGTCGTCATCAACTAGAGAATGAGAATATTTTGGCTACCTTTAGTTCCACTTTCGAATAACGGCACTACCACTGTATTTGATAAAACCAAACGCAGCCGAGCCCCTTTATAAGAGACTCTGACATAACAGACAAGTGAGTATAAGAGGCATCAGTGTAGCTGCATCATAACAAGGGTTGACAAGAAAGTGCACATGTGGTACCCTGTAAATAATAGACACCTCGTGTAAGAGACAAGAACTGATCCCTGGTGGGTGTGTCTTATGAACGGGTTCAACTGTACACGCTTTTCAAGATTGAAGAAAATGAATGGATTCAGATAGCCTCTATGCAGAAAACACAATGCCTCATGCCACTTCTGAGCTGAACACATACCAACAAACAAACAAAGCAAAAAATACTACACCAATTAAAAGGGGGGAGGGGCGACTTTTTACAGCTCTTGCAGGGAACTACTGTTCATTATGTTAGCACTCATACCGAAGTTCTGAGACGCGTCCAAGAAGCACATAGCCAGCCAGAGCTGTCCTGACTTTACCACAAGTAAAGCAACTAGGCCCTCTGGTTTTATGTGGGGTAAGTGTCCTTTCTTTAGGGCCATGACCGAGTTCAGATGACATATAACACGTCACTTACAAAAGCCTGGGCACTCCATGAGAATGTTATGCACCAACATAAAATTGAACCAACAACCTCAAGCACACCAGTCAAATGGTAGAGGCACTAACCTATGCCCTAGGTGTCTACGCAGTACGGGGTCGGCCATCAGAATTCTCAAACTTACCGAGGTGATTGAAATGAGGTGGACATGGATAGACTCTTCCTCTGAAATCCATGTTGTGCGGAAACCAGAACACCCTGTCCCTAAACTGCAGACAGAGCAAAAGAAAAATAGGCTTTATAGCAAGAGACCACAATGCTAGGCAGCCCTTATGGGTAAATAAATAATAAAGCAAAGGAGGGCAGTGCAGTAACAAACTGCTTAATCTGCTGAACACGTGACATTCTACCTATTTGTTGCTCAATAAATTTCGGCTCACTCAATTGGTAAATAACATAAATAATCAGGTCAGAAAAAAAAAACGCCTTTATAATTCATCACACACTATAAACCGGCTGAACTTTTTTTTTCCTTTTTTGAATTTGACGCTAAAGCCACGACAAAAACGCAGTACAGTGAAATCTCAATACAACGAATTTGAAGGGACCGCGGAAAATAGTTCGTTATTTTGAAATATCGTTATAGTGAAAACATCGAAAATTCGCATTAAAAATCGTAAATGCAACAAAAGGAGTCGCCTACCTTTGCTGTGTACACATCCGCAAACGCTTGATTTTATGACGAGCGTGAAAAGAAACAAAACGCGAAGTATTCCGGAATGAACGCACGTTTATTTGAAAAAGTCGGTGATCTTGGCCTGGCGGGTGCCCCTCAACTGCCGCAGGACGAACGCTTCGAAGTAGTCCACATTCTTATGCTCTGCTTCAGTGGCATTGCTGCACCTGCCAAGGTAAGTGCGCATCTTTCGCACGCATTCCATGATGTCGGCGTTGGAAAGCGATTCTTCTGGTTGGCTAACGGGCGCGGTCTCAGCGTCGTCTTCGCCATTGGCGTCCTCGTCGCTGTTATCACCACGAACAGCACTGACGATGTCATCGGTCGTCAGTTCGGCTGACGTGCATGCTTCGTCGTCGCACTGCACATAGTCCTCGAACGTCACCGAGGCATCCATCGCGAGTCTTTCCACGACTTCTTGCCACATGCCACTCGCGTCGCTTTCTTCGGTGCCTTGTTCAGATTCAGATGGCATTACTACCAAGCCTGCCTTCTTCCAGCAGTTCTGGATGGTGGTTGATGTAACGCTCCACCAGGCCCCGGTAACCATTTCTGTGGCCTGTTGCACATTGATGGAGGTAGGCAGCTTCATCCGAAGATTTATCAGCAATCGCTGAACCAGGCGTGTCCGGTAATGGGCCTTGACGCTTTTTATGATGCCATGGTCCAGTGGCTGGAGCAAGGACGTACAGTTCGGAGGCAAGAATTCTAGCTGTACATTTGTCAGCCTGACATTAACAAGATGCGCCGAGCAGTTGTCGGCGATAATCAGGATTTTCCTACCTGCGCTCCTCATCTCATCGTCCACCTTTAGTAGCCACTCAGAGAATAACTCTCGTGTCATCCACGCACGTGAATTAGCCCGGTAATCGCACGGCAATGAAACAACGTTCCTTATGCAGCGAGGCTTCTTGTATTTGCCGATCACCAAGGGCTTCAGCTTCTTGGTGCCTGTGGAATTGCAGCATAACAATACCGTAATCCGGACTTTGGACTGCTTGCCGCCTTTGCACCTGTTCCCTTTAAAATGCATGGTTTTATCAGGAAGCATTTGATAGAAGAACGCCATTTCGTCCGCATTGAATATATCATCTTCGGAGTATGAAGCGACGATTTCGCGGAACTTCTCGTCCCTCCATGCAGCAGCGCTTGCTGCGTCTGCCGCCTTCTCTTCACCAGACACCACTTGCCAGGTGATTCCATTCCTTTCACGGAAACGATGAAGCCACCCCGCGCTTGCTTCGAAGCCTGTGATGTCCAAAGCATCAGCGAATTGCCGGGCTTTTTCCTGCAGCATGGGTCCCGACACCGGCACATTTTGAGAACGCGCGTCCTTGAACCAAGTCAGTACTGCAGCATCCACTTCTTGGAAATTCCCAAGTCGGAGCCATTTTCTTGACGGTGCGAGTTGGGACCCTCGGTGCAGCTCGAGGATCTTTTGTTGGTCCTTCAGGATGGTTGCGACAGTTGATGGTGCAACCCCCATCTCGTTCGCAATGTGGATTTGTTTTTTACCGGCGTTCACTTGAGAAAGAATATCCACTTTTTCTTTCAAAGAAAACTGCCTCCGTTTCTTTTTCGCGCTGCTTCCGGAGCTCATCGCGAACGCAGAAACGAATCACTCTAACCTTTAAAACGAGAAAGCCGTACGACAATCGTGCGACGTTGCCGGTCGACGTAACAAAACAAAGGCGGCGAGGTTAGGCTCAACCTGGCTCAACGAGCATGCAAAAAAAAAAAAAAAAACATCGAAAACAAGGTACTGGCGATGGCGATAGGGCTAGCCAGGCTAGTGCGCATTTAGCATAAGGCAACGCATGGAGAAATGAGCAGGAGCTCTGATGATGATGATAGTGCCACATATGGCGCTGGGCATTTAGACCGCCGCACGTAATTTTTACGCTAGAAATTCGTTATTTTGAAGTGCTCTTAAGGTACCAGGGTGATAAAATTTGATACGTTATTCTGAAACATTCGTTATTCTGAAATTCGTAGTAGTGAAATATTTTTACATTGAACCAATGGACATTTGGAAGGGGATTTCCGAAATATTCGTTAATCTGAAAAAATCGTTAATCTGAGGTTCATTATAACGGGATTTCACTGTATTGTGTCTGTAAAGGTGGCTTCACCGCAGTGTTTCAAAGCTATGCAAAAGAAATAAAGCATAGCGTTTTAGCAATACGCATGGCTCTTTTGAAAAAAAAAAAAAAAATGAGAATCAGTCAAAATGCGGGTTATATGTGAAAAAATACAGCACTGTAGACCAGTTTGTGCCAAGAGGTACAAATGTACTTGAAGATCGCTGATGCTTGAAGGACAATACTCATTCATTCATTGTTTCACTAGCCTATGGTATACTACAAACCCTACAAAAGGGACCACACGAAAGTCTGTACACAACATTATTTTAAAAAATGAAACATGACAATTACAGGGACGAAGAAATTAATGAATGGAAAATTTACTGTGATAACATTGCTCAATCATTACCCGATTTTCAATTTGTTGTGAAAATTGAAGAGATAATGAAATAGCAGTGAAAGACTGTGAACACTAGACGTCTATAGTACATGTCAAAAACTAAATACTATATTTTTGCATCAGCACCATCACAGGAAAGCTCCAAAGAGCGTCAAAGGTGAAAGCTAAATCTACAGCGATCTATCGTACACCTCTTATGTGCTCCTTTATGAATAATGCTAGAAAGAATAAACTCAAAGAGCGCAGGTAACTTACATGGTTGGCGATAGAAAGCTTGTAGAGAGCGTCGCACCATAGACTGTACATTTCAGCACGTTTACGCCTGTTAAACATGCGTTCCCGAGTTATCTTGATCTTTTCTGTTTTGTCCATGCCACTAGAAATACAGGGAAAAAGTCCACTGATATCTTAAGCTGTACATCCAATCGATTTCTACTTCACTTCACCTCCCGTAAAAGAAGGCAACAAAGCCAAAAACGGCACATATCCGTATTCATGGTCGGATACAACTTTATAAGTTCGCGGCACTTCGTGCTCAAAGGCGAACGCACACAAGCCTAAACCAATGCCTGGGCAATCCAGATCAACAATATAAGCCTGGCAGCCTTTGTAGACCCGCCTGCAGAGAACATTGCCGAATGCACGAGCAGAAAAATTTCTAGAGTCATGAAGGCAAATGGCTGCCATGCTTCAATCATCAGGGCGTGAGGCCTCTCCAGAATCCAACTATTTTTTCTGCAGCAGATGTCAGTGACTGCTGCTGAATATTATTATTATCATTGTTGCTGCTATAATTGTTAACTATATAATAGCAAAATTTATTTAGCAAAAAAGGGTCTGACAGCAAAGATTTCAGACCTGCTCAGTTTGATGTTAACAGGATGTTAACGGAATGTGCAGGTTTCTTGGCCAGCTGCCTACACCTAACAGCATGTTGCACTTTGTGTTGCCATCAGCCAAAAAGTACGCCCCACATTTGTTGCCTGGCTACAAGCGGTGCTGACTGACATTCCCAGGATTGCACACAACATCAGATACACAACGCACCACAACAGATACACATCAGCCGGTGTGATAGCCCAACTGACCTTGCACGGCAAGAGTAATGTAGAGGTTGCGCTGTCAACTTTGACCAGTAGCAAGTTACTTTTTTAGTCCACCTTCATTTTACTTCCTTTTTGTTCAATAACCACACTTCAATTCAAAGCTACAAGTAACACTCCCTATGCTTTCCTTGTCTTCACATGGTTATGTCTTAGTCAAAATGTGTCAACCACAATGCCACTGCTTCGTGCTCAATATGAAATTGCTGCAATATACGCCACATTAACATCATCCTCCTTTGTAACTTACGGTTCGAACTTGGGTGGGGCTGGGAGCTCTGAAGGAGGGATCGGGATGTCAAGCTCAGTGTTGCCTTTGTTGAGGAACACATCAATTACCAGATCAAGCATCTGCACAGAGTTATTATAAACAGAACATAAATTAACAAACAAACACATGAGCAGTCAACCTGAACTCGTTTCAAGATGAACATGAACTTACATGTGTAGATATTTAACTGTAATGCTTTCTGTTTATTATATTGCAACTGTTTCTTTTCTTATATAGTTTCCCAACTCAATATGTACATGTATATATGTCTTGTGTTTTGCACCCCTAACTCAATGCCCCCCCTTCCCCCGGGGGCCTGTAAGGTACCTTGAAATAAATAAAAACTTTATGAACCATAGCAGCACACTGCCAAAAGCCTCTTCGCTACATTTCCAATGAGTAAGCGGCGATCGACAGCAGTGCTACGCCCAAGACGCATCTGTATCCCTTAACCGATGGTTTGGCAATTTTCCTGCTAGGCATAAATGTTTCCCACCTTTAAATTTTCAATGCGATGCACTCTTTTGCAGTAGTGGCTAGATGCTTCTGTCTTGAGAGCAGTCTATTAGCATGAGTGTTATCAGTCGCATTCTTTCTCGTAAAGTGACACTTACCCAATTATACACCATTCGAAGCGCACCATAATAGCTTCGATTCTGCTACCAAAGTGAAAATGTGGCGCCCACACCACAAGTAAATACCTCGAGTGAAAACAGTGAACTAACTGTTTTATGTGTGGCAGTAGAAAAACTGATATACCTGTGCATAATAGTGTCAGTGTGTCGAGGGATTTCCACGTTGCGCCGAATTCGCTTACAATATGGCGCAACGCTAGGTGGCACAGACTAGCAGTTTAGCATTCACTCACGTGGTCCATAAACTTTTTTGGTAAATCGAACATTGCTACAGCCAGAACAGAAGCATGCGCATGATACTTAAAATTGAAATTCAGCACAAAAACTGACACAAACTTCAGAATCGCACCATACGTGAGACAATTCCTTTCATCTCTAAAGAGCTCCTGTGAAGAAATAATGAGGTAAAATTCCATACCAGCTGGATGGGAACTTCCACACTGAGCTGGTACCAAGAAATGACAAAGGTCGTGTCTTTAAACAACTACACAGCTGAGCCCAGAAAAAATGAGAATGCATATTCTAACAAAAATATTATGTAACAAAGAACACAGATTAATTGTTTGGCCATGCTACGTTTCAATGGTTACTCCACCACAGACCACTAGTATACTGAAGTACAGTAATATCTCGTTTATTCGAACTCGCATATCTCGAAAAATCGGCTAAGTCAAAATTTTCCGTGCCACCAAACATTTTCCTATACGTCCCATGTATGCTTTTCCCTTTATATCGAAGTATTTTTGGGTAGGATTGCAGATAACTCGTAATCTTGACTGGGAGTGGAATGAAATGAAAATTCCGTTGCCGAACTATTTTACAAAATTTGTGCGATGCTGCCATGCTCGAAGTTCGTCGATTTTTTTACAGCGAAAGCTGTTATGTGATCACAACTAGAGTCACGCGCAGTTGTCCGCCGCCGCCACCGATGTCTGTAACCACATCGCGCGAATTCAGAAAAAAAAAAAACGTAGCACCAATGACACAGTGGCGCTCGAACACGGGTGCGCTGGGTGCCAGCCTAGTGTTTTACCACTGCACTACGCCGGTGCTTGTGACTTGTCGGCAAACTTTCTTTAAGCAGGCTTGATGTCCGAAAAGCAATCACATTATTACGACTTATAAAGCGTTTTAAAACAGCGACAGAACAACCAGTCGTCGCACAATGCGAATAGTGTGACCCGTGGGCCGTCCAATGCTCCAACCCATTACGTAAGCTTGTTCTTGTTCCCCCAATTAATTATGGCGCATACCCACTTCAGCCATAATTCCTCATCATCGTCAGCCACTGCATGAACAATTGGCACAAAATTCCTTGCAAGTGTTTAGCGGATACCATGCTTCTCAGAAGAATGACGAAAAATAGCATAGAGAATAGCGGCCTACTACCCGAAAAATTTATTATTAATGCTTTAGTGGGTATCAAGCAAGCGTGCTTGCAGTAGTTCAATGACTGTTCCGCTCATTCCAGGGAGGTTCAAATCCTAGAAGTTATTGACAGCAGCCGCTGTTCTCGAAGGGAAGCTATTGACATAGTTAGAGACAAGGCTTTTGGGTACTCGAGCATTACAGCGCACTACACTTTCAGTATAGACTCAAATCTATCCCAGGCTATTGAGACTGCTGTGGAAAAGGCAGTGATTAAGGCAATGGATAAACTAACCTTTCCGACTTACCTTTCCGACTGTTTGGTGCAAATTCTTTCAAATCAGATTGGGCAAAGAGTACAGACTAGTACAGAACCTGCAGTATCGGACATTACCAGCGATGCCACTCAGCTACGCAAATTCGTTTTGAACGAACTTTCTGCATCTCCAGACAAGAATAAGCAGTCAGAAACACAGGTGCACTTGGACCGACATACGCCTCAGCTGAGCACAAGTGCTGCAACAGATATGGAATTCAATATACGAACTAATAAACGTACCAGATCCCCTATCTTCACCGATCAAGTCCAAAACTAAACGGAATGAAGCAGCTATTTCGTGTAAAGATGCTAACAAGGGCACGGCATGCACCTCTGCGGTGCGCCCAACACCATAGGTCAGTTGAGGGTACTACAGTGGAACTGCCGTTTTATATTCTCAGCCTCAACCGACTTACATTACTTTTCCAATAATTTTAATCTTGATATTATGATTTTCCAAGAAACTTGGCTTACACCAGATAAAAATTTCAATCTCGCAGGTTTTCGTTCTTTTCGATTAGATCGCCCATCACGTGGTGGTGGTTTAATGATCCTTGTATCAAGTAAATTATGCCATAAGGAGAAAATTTCTTTCACAATGTTGGACTCGGATTGTGAAATATTAGCATTAGACTCTTGTCTCCCCAGATACCACCCTTTTTCAATGATAAATTGTGACTTCCCTTCCGGTGTGCAAAGTATGCGTTATCTTGACAGTGTTTTGGTAGCATGTAGAAAGGAAATTGTACTCACAGGAGATTTTAATTCACATCATTGCTCTAGGGTCCTAAGGACAAATTCTTGTGGTAGGCGACTGTGGGAATGGACTATTAATCACAACCTCTCGTGTCTGAATAAAGGCCATGTAACATTTGTCCGAGGTCAGACTTGCTCAGTATTAGATTTAACGTTTTGCTCCAATGCAATCAAGGTTTTCTCATGGGCTGTTCTGGGTTCGGCAACTAACAGCGACCATCTTCCTGTAGTTTTTTATATTACTTGTCCAACAGTAACTTTAGATCAGCCAAAACGCACATACACAATCATAGCAAATTTCAAGCCTTCCTCCGTTCTGCCATTTCTAAGCTTGGAAATGCCAGTACTATGGAGATTGCATCTACGATTGGTTCAATGCTGCAAGAATCTAGAAAAAATTCAGAATTTTCTATTTCATTGAATAAACAATCCTCCTCTCGTTGGTGGAACGATGAGTGTACGCGCGATTGTAGAAGATGAAAAGCCACTTGGAAAAAACTTTTTCATAATCAAAGCCGAACAAACTGGAAGGACTATCAATTCCTTGCTGGCGTATTTAAGCGTACAATGAACTGCACGAAAGAAGAATACGACAGTAGACATTTCGATTATCTTTCTAAATAAAAAAATAAGCGTGCTTTGTTCGCTTATCTTCGGACAAGAAAAGTACTGCCAGCACCTTTAATGTTGCAGTCATTTGTCTTGACGCCGCAAGAAATGAACACCTCTGTAGAAAACGTAGTGCAAAGTTTGGAACGACGCTTCACTGCTAATCTTTTGGCTGTTCGGCTCATGCTGGTAAACTTGCATGAATTTTCAGAAGTTTCTTTAGCTCAATTGAGTCAGACAGTATTATGCTTACCGAGGACAGCTCCCGGACCAGATAGAATTACGAACTCCTTTAAAATATTTAAATGTTAAATTTTTACTGCAGGAATCGCCTAATCTTTTGCTCTAACTAGTGAATCATTCGTTAGGGAACGCATGGATACCCCAGAATGGAAACTTGCCAAAATTATGTTGTTGCTCAAGAATGAAATTGGAGCATACATGTTGGATAACATAAGGCCAATCGCACTGACATCAAATTTAGTGAAATTGATTGAGAGAATCATCAATATACGAATTAATGAACTTATTACCGTGAGGTCAATTCTAAGCCCCTATGATACTGGGTTCAGGGCTGGTTGTTCAATTTGGAATGCCCACGTTGATTTAGAAAGTCAACTTCAATTAGCTCGGCTACATAACAAATGTGCAGCTTTAGTTACTTTAGACATCGCTAAAGTATATGATACTGTGGAGCACAGTATTTTGATAGATCGATTAGAATACCTTGATTTTTCATCATGTATAGTAGCGTGGGTTCACAATTTTCTTGCAGACAGGAAATTTTATTGTTTTAAAGATGGATTTTCATCATCGACTCATACACAAACGAGGGGAGTACCCCAAGGCTCAGTGCTTTCTCCAGTGCTATTTAATTTACTAATGAGCACCATTCCGCGTAAACAGGATATAACAACTTATGTTTATGCAGACGATATCGCGTTTTTCGCAATGGCAGATAACATTCAGACCTTATAACAATGGCTGCAGACTTAATATATTGAAGACTTAATATATTGGCTTAATATATTGGAGAGCTGGCTCGATGGCAACTGCTTTCTACTCAATTCGAGTAAATCTGCCCTCCTTGTTTTCCCGCAGCAATACCCCGTACACATCTCTCTGTCTTACCATCATGAGGATATACCACAGATAGAATCTGTTAAATACCTTGGAGTAATTTATCACAAATCAATTAACTGGCAACCTCATATCGAATATATCGCCGGAAAAAGTGTGCGGGCCATTGGCATATTACGTAGGCTAAGCAACTACCGCATAGGTATGAGAAGAGACACACTGGTAATGATATATTGCATGTACGTTCATCCTATTTTGGAATTTGGTTGTGTTCTTTTCTCTGGAGTTCCAGCTTACAAGTGGCGGCCTCTAATTCTTCTGGAAAGAGAAGCTTTGCGCTTATGCCTTGGCCTGCCCAATACAGTTGCTACCATTGTGGTGTATCTCGAATCGAGGGTCACTCCTCTTTCTTGTAGAATTCTGCTTCTGACTGTTAAGACATTCTTAAGAATTTATGAATCACCATTACGACATTCTGAAACAGCCTTTATTTCCACCCCGGAATCATTTTTCAGGTGCTAGATGGCTGCGATTTCATGCCTCACAAATTATATTTGCGCAAAATTTAATGGAGCTTCTAAACGTACGTACATGCGACATCATGCTGAGTCGTGATAATTCATACCCTGTGGAAATTCAATTTGACGATATTTTCCATAGTAAGGCCAAATTACTTCCCCATAATATTTTGGATGCTTTACTACAAGATCACCAGTGCAGTATTACAAAAAACGTTATTATTGCAACAGACGAATGGCAATCTGACGAAAAGTCAGGGATCGGTATTTTCAGCTCGATTTTAGATTGGATTTATTCCCTTCGACTACCCGATTTCATAGCCATTTTTGTGGCTGAATTTCTGGCAGTAGTGCTCGCCTTATGCAAGTTAGATGCAGCAATTACAACAGCTGTCATATTAACAGATTCCCTATCTCTCTGTGTGGCACTTTCTGTTGGTGCTGACAATAAAGTAACAAAGGCGTTCCGAGCACTAGTGCCTGCGCATTTGGGAAAAGGCCTATTAGTTTGGTTGCCTAGACATAAAGGATTATTTCTAAATGAAATAGCTGATTCCTTAGCTAAGTCGTCAATTAGCGAACCGATTCTACCGCACTGTCCATCCTCCCCTTATGTGACTACTGCTCGATTCCGCAGACGTACGCATTTGGAAGTCTTTAGAGGTACAGCACGAACAAACTCTACCGAATATTGCCATTTATTATACCCCTAGCGAAGAGACTTTTGCCACACTCGTAAACAAGAAGTAGCTATCACAAGGCTGCATTGCCGGGTACCAAATATAAATTTCTATAAACACAGGTCTGCTCAGGCACCTCTGCGACTGTGCATGTTCTGTGATGAACTTGAAACAATGGATAATTTCTTTCCGACCTGCAGGCAGTTTAACACATTACGAAAAACCATTTTAGAAATACCTTTACGTGGTATTGATATGGACTTATCTGTGCCTGTCATTTTGTCTTTTGGAGCTTCCACTTCTGGGTTCTCTAATGCGACAGTATGCGCGGCCGTTCTGGACTATATTGATGAAACTAATAGGTTGACTAATTAATCTGTTTCATTATCCTAACATGTCTACAAAATAATATATGCATAAAAATCTGAATATTACACTAATCTAAGAATAAATTTGTTTCTTTATTGAAATAATTGTATGCATTAGATCAAGCACTACACTTTCCTAGGTTATCAGTAATCTTTCTATTATATCTCCATTATTCTAAATCTAAACAATAATTTTTAAACCCACTCGGTTCTTGGCCGATCCCCATTAGTGGATATGCGCCACGATCAATAGGTGAACAAGAACAAGAGTGTTTTGAAAAGGCTCTGAAAGGTCGTTCTTCTAGCTTTCACTGTGACTGTGCGGTGCCTTCTGCGCAGGCATGGCATTTTTTTTTTTTTCCTTTCATATTTAGCAGCACCTGCTGCTACGTTGATTCTTTTCGCAAATGCAAAGTGCACAAAGTCTCAGCCCAGCAGCATATCAACTTTGTCATGCGACATATGCGCTGACCAGGGAGGTCCCTGTCCAGTGCGTGGCATAGTGTGTCTCGTGCAGTGCACGTGATTTTCCCTGAGGTGTGATTTCTGTTCACCTGCGCAAACTGAGCGGTACGCATTTTTCGCTGACTATGAGGAGCGGCAACTTAGCATGAGCGCGGCAAGCATGGCGTCCAAGCACTGCAAGTCGATAACGCTAGAAAAAAAGGTTGCCCTAACTAAGGAAGTAGAGAAAGGAGGCCGAACGAAATCAAGCATCATGCAGGAATTCACCAACTCTTTGTCTATGCTTTCAACAGCGCTGAAGAACAAGCAGAAGGTGCTGGATGAATTTCACCAGAGACTGTGAGGAACTTTGTAAAAAGGTCACCAAGCCTACATGTAACGGTGCCGCCGAAAATTATGCGACTTTTCTGGAGCACGCATCATGTGGGCAGGATGTGGCGGTGACCAGAAAAATTACGGACGCCGTACTCGTTCAAACGGCCACTAACGTAGAGAGCTACGGAGACGACAGCGATGACAAACCGCTTCGAGAGGTGCCGATATCTTCTGAGACGAGAAATTTTCTATGCTCCCTCCAAAATAAGGTCGACTGTAGCGGCGGGGAAGATCGACTGATGCAATGCATCAAGCAGCTGGAGGGCACCTTCCTAGGCCAGAGTACGACGGCAACGTAGGCGAGCATTAGGCAGTTTTTCTCAGCTAAATAAAGTGGCAGTGCGGCAAAACCCAGCTGATTCAAGTCTCTTGTACATTATTATTTTTAAATATGCACGAGAAGAAATATTGGAAACTGCCGCTGAAGAGCAGGTAAGTAGTAGTGATTTTTTGAAGAGCGCTCATTTTTTTTGGCGATTAGCGCAACTTTGCTTATCTCGAAACTCCTTTTATCTAGAAATTTTCCCTGGTTTTTACCACTTCGAGTTAACAAGGTTTAATGGCATTGCATAGAAAACTCTGTGGCTGTTCAAACAAAAATAGCCAGACAACTTGATATATCAATACTATGCAATACTATGTCCCTTCTCATACAGTTTTCCTCTTTGATATAACTCAAACCTCATTAAAACAATGTTGCACCTATGTTGCATAAAATAAATTCATTATATCTAAAAATTTGTTATAAAAGTTTATTACTAACACTGTATATATTGCGAGACTATTTCCCATTTACTTCGTTATAAATGATACTTCGTTACATCCATGTTTATTATATTGAGGTTTGAGCATATTGGTGGATAGGATTTAAGCACATCCACAACGGTTTTTGTTTTCTTATTCTACACAGCAGATTCACTGAAACGAACATCAGACATATCAGGGTACTTTTAACGTCGAGTACTACTCCATTCATTACAAGGAAGGTCAATTGTCAAAACTCACGGGTTTGTTGATCCTCCAGGGACAGAGGCCAAGGATGTTCAGGGAGTCGAAGCTCGGGTACATCTGCTGCACGGGTTTATCCTCGAGCACCATTTTCTGTTGCTGGGCCGTCTCCGGAAGTCTCACCAGGGGTGCTATAAAACATTGCATACGGTTGCATGCTAAGATTAACAGGCGAGGTATTAGGCACCAGTACAGTCAAACACAGATGTAAAAATATCACTAAAAATAAATAAATAAATAAAACATGAGGAATCAGTTCAACGTAGCGGATAACCTTATGTCTAACTTTTAATGAAATTATTGTATTTCACGTACAAATTTTAGTGCATAGGTTGGCTTCACAATGCTAGTTACTATGAGGTAAGAAACACACTTTCGTGACATTATGCAAGTATTTTATATTTTTTAATTTTTTCACAGTTTGCAGTTGGGAACGCGAGGTCATGAACAGGGGCGCGTTTAAGCTCGAAAAAATGCAATATCGGTGGAAAAAGCTCCTCAAAATATTCATTCACAGCTGCGTGTACTCACAAGCACTGGAAGCATCTAGCCTGCCAAGGCCCTAATGTCGGCCCCGCTTTTCAATGTCATGCTTTGCATACTTCTCGGGATGCCATCCGTACACAGCGACAACAAAAGCATTCCTTTCTCGACGTTCAATAGTAATGTCACCGACTTGACGAAGAACAGCAGGTTCTTTTCTGTTTCACCACATCCATCTTACAAACAAAATAAGCTGAGCAGCAAACGATAACGTGACACGATGAGCCGGTGTCACAAAGACAAGGGATTGTGTGTGAAAACCCTCGATGGCAAGCGGTAGTTTCGACTCCCTCAACATGGCGCTCTCCTAATCACACTTGCAAGTGGTAGTCACTTTTCTCTGAGGAAAAGCCAGAAATTTTGACCAAAAAAGCCAATTAGTTCCAGCATTTTGCACTACCCAATATTTGATATATCAAGTTGTCTGGCTATTTTTGTTTGAACAGCCACAGAGTTTTCTATGCAATGCCATTAAAGCATCATGTTCGAAAATGGTTTGACACAAAAGATCGCTTAGTTTGCCCGAATTCGATAGAGATGTATTTGGCTTAATGCCCATCAGGTAGGCTGTAGTGAGCGGCTATGGGATCGATTGCCACCATCTAATGTTCTTTCCCATGCAGATTAAATATCGGCCCACGATCTTCATTTCGAGCTAATCAAGATGTGGATGACTAGCCTAGAATCGAACCCATGCTCTTAAGCTTAGCAGCACAGCGCATTATTTGTTGAGATACCACAGGCAGCTGTGTGAATATAGAAAGAAAAAGTTGGAAAAGAATTCCACAAAAAGTACACAAACTAGAAAAAGCCACACAAAGAGGAAAAAAAACACGCCATTTACAGCATCTGTTCTCTCTATGTACCTACACTCTGAAACTGACAGCAAGTAAATCAATTCTTGGCATACGATCTGGTGACTCATTGCTGGTTAGCCTTGTAAGGATGCTTCTGATGTACCACCTTTTCAAACATGCTTTGATATGCAAGACTGCACTTACGGACTGAACTTGGCGTGTGCATCAGGCAAGGAGCAATCAGTTGCACAGCAGACTTGGATGATGAGCCAACCTTTCTCACTTCCATAAAAAATTATTCCTTCTATTGCATTCAGCTAGCTACTAGTATACATTAAGTTTCTTTTGTATGCTTCCACAACAGAGTGATGCATCTTTCAGTGCCATGAGCACTTTAGATCTGTCGGGATACATAGTGCTGGGCTTATATTGTGACCACGAGAAATTTTTACTCAAAGGCGAAGATTCCTTTCCAAGAACTCGCGTGACCCAACATTCCGGGGAAACACATCTTCAAAAGCGGGTTTGTGATGGCATTAACCTTACTGACAGCAGCAAGAACATAATAAGAAAAATGTGCCAACTACATCCACATACTTCCTTTGGTTTAAAGGGGAACTCCAGCAATTTTTTATATATTCACCGATTTCAATAAAACTTTCAACATATGTTTGCTTTTGTACCTTGATTATACGTGCCAAATTGTACAACCGCAAGCCATTTATGTCTTTTTAAAAAGAATTTCAAAAATTGGTGCCTGATTCCGGAATCACACCTGTAAACGTGGCCTACCATGCATATGTGACTTAACGTGCCTACTGTTTTCCAACCCCACCTAGTGCAACAGACGGAAGCAGCGCGGGCTTTCTTCTACGTGGGGACGATGATACGAGCACAATTGGTAGGTTTTGATAGCAGCATACAGTAAGTCAGCCATCATTGGCAACGGGTATTATGATAAAGCGCACATTATTGAGCAACCAGGACATCGATGCAGGGCACATCAGCTACATCATGCACTGATGGGTCAAAACCAAATGGTGACGCTTGCATGCTCGGATAGTAGCTACGATCATCACTGAACTCATCACTGGTAAGTTCAAAGAGGCTAGCACAGCTTGATTCCACATCGGATGACATTGCCAGCTTGCTTTTCACGCTGTAGAAGAAGCACATGTGCGACGTTTACACCTTGGCTAGCCACGGCAGTGCGTGGCATACTTCGTGATGTCATTGCTTACCCAGAACAGTGCAGCTCCATGTTTCGGTTCTCACTCATTCTTTATTGCTTATTTAAAACTATTGAAAAGTCTCTTGGCAATATGAGCCACCCCAGCTGTTACAACTAGGGTATTAAAAAACGGCGTTATCTCAATATGGCCGAAAATGTGCTGTAGTTCCCCTTTAAAACGAGACAAGTAGCAAAAGCAAAATAAAAAAGATGCTATTGAGTTTTTAATGAAAACCTACACATGACAGAACACTGATGGAAATCAGTGCATCCTTTTCTTTGTTCTCTCGTTTCGCATAACAACTAATTGGTTGATGAGAAATGAAGAACTCACTCTGCGTGAGCAAGAAGATTCCACTGTTGACATCAGACCAGGGCAGTGGTGGACACACCATGGGCACCAGGCCAATGTCAAAAGCAAGTTCCTCGAGGGACGCTTCGCGATAGAGTTTGGAAAGCAGAGGATGAGGCTGCAAGTAGAGAGAAAATTAAAAAAAAAAAAACAAGGGGTGATGGTTATTGCACGACATCAAAGGGTTCTGCCGATGTCGTAGGCTATATCTTTTTAATGCATTTCAGTTGAATATGCAGTTAATCATCAAACAGCTGCACTATTTTAGAACACCCACACTGTGGCTATGCCAAGCAGCCATTTAGTACAACTTTCATTTCCCAGTTTCAAAGAAGTTCCACATATCAGAAGGACTATGTAAATTGTCTCATAGTGTATCATACGGGATTCTATCTTCGAATTTTATTTTCTCAGCTTTCAAGGGAAAAATCATTTTCGAGCCTTTCTATGTTTTTGGGTCAAGTATAAACTTTGGTACTGTATATGAACTATCACAAGCGCGTTCAAAGGTCTTTTTAAAAAGTCCGAACCTTTATTTCTTCTTTCGTTCTCAGCCCAACGGTCCTGTAGATGTTGTAGAACGCAGGTACCATTGCCCTACAATTATAATAATTAGAAAATTATGAGTAAGACCTTAAGGACAGGCAATTGAAAAAGTAAACAACAGACAATACACATCCCACCTCTCCCTACTTCATGCAACCAATACAGAGAACTAAATGGCTATAAAGATCAAAACGAGACAAAATTTTGAAGTTCAAGGAATATGGAGAGAAGTCGCAAAACAAGGAGTAGTATTATGGCAGCCAGCATTTTGACAAGGTACATTTTTTAATGAGAAGGCTGTTTTTCGAAATCTGAGATTTACATATTTACTTGCATAATAGGCGCACTCCCAAAGTAGGTGCACCACCAGTTTGGTCACGAGAAATCCGAATTTTTTCATTTCCGTGCGTAACAGGTGCAACGAATTTGGCCGTGATCAGTAGTTCTATACTGTATTTGTATGGTTGCGATTCAATGCCCTCTTACACTAACTGAAGTGAGGAAAAAGAAAACTAGAAAACAAAAAATGACCACGGCATCGCTGCGCCATCTCTGCGGGCTTGCCAAATGAGGTATAAAGACGGCTGCCTGGGTGTCAAAGTAACCTTTGCACCGACACACAGGTGTAGCTCTGGCCGCTAGCCGGCCGCGCACGCTTTGTATAAAACACGCAGTCCTCGTCAAGTGTGCCACGAGTTTCGTGTAAAAAAAAACATCGTTATCACGCATTTGCTACTGCGTCCGCAAATTCAAAAGCTTTTGAGCTTTCCGGCGCGAGCTTTCACCTTCACTGCCACTACGCAGACTTGCAAAAGCTTGGTGGACTTTTGTCACCGTTTATTTTCCGGCCGCGAACCTAAACGTCGTATCACACACGTTGCTCTTGTATCAGTGCCTGGTTGCGATTTTTCTGACACCCGATCTTCATGGTGTCTTATACGAACTTCTCGCGACAGCATGCTGAACGGTAGGCTAGGCCTAATCACTGTTCCTGCTTTTCGGTGGCATTCGCGGGTGATCATATTGCAGTTTCGTACAAAATTATCCTAACTCTTTTCAGTGGCTCTATTTGAAGAAAAGGGGGTTGGGGTGGTGCTTGTAACACTGGAATGGTGGTTCGCGATTCGATTGCAAGACTGCGAAATTAAACAATCGGTTGCACAGACAATCTATGAAGCCTGAAGCGTAGTGGACGAATTTCTGCAATGGCACTTTCTTATTGTAGGTAATCTCCCCCCTACCCGGTGTTCATTTCGTTAGCAACGCGGGTCTCTTCTGATAGTGTAGCCTATGAAGTAGGTTGTTCCGGCTGTAGCACATATATTAGCGACTTCAGCGACGTATACGTTATCAAAGGTCTATGGAGTAGTCCGAAATAAAATTTTCAGAAATTTTTCCCTGCGCAATAGGCGCACCCCGAACTTGGAGCCAGATTTTCTAGAAAACAAGTGTGCCTATTATGCAAGTAAATACGATACGAAATCAATATCGCCAGTTATTCTTATGCACATGCTGTTACATAAAATAAGTACTATTTACCGTGACCATTGTTTAAAGGGTCACTCGCCAGGCCCCATACCAAATTTTAGTTAGACCGTGGAAGTTGTTGAGTGTCCGATGAGGAACACTTTGCCACAAAAATTTTTGAACATGACTTTGCATGTTCGGGTTTACATGACTTTGCACACACCTTCTTCACAGGATGTATGTATCATCATTTCAACCACACAAGATGTACTCACAGCGCTCATTATTATTAAATTTCATCAATCACCAACTGGCTGAGACTTCAATTATGGTCGTGCAATAGACAATAACAACACAGAGGCCTCAGAAGTAGAATTATCATGGCATTTAGTATACTACTACTTTAAATGGACATGAGGATTCACTACGAATTGCTCATTAAAGCAAAATGATTGTGAGGCGTATCATAGTAGGGGACGATTGAATTAACAACGGCCATTTTTTTTTGTTTTAATTTCATCAAGAACCCTGCATACAAGTATGAAGCAAGTGTTTTCCCATTTTGACCCTACAGAAAAGCAGCCATCGAGGCAGTGATCAAACTCGGTACTTTGAGCTTGGCTCAAAACATCACAGCAACCGAGAAACGACAGCAGGTGTCTCACTTTGTTGAAGAGGGCCGCATGGCATTGATGTCGATCTTCACTTCGTGGAAGATTATGTCGTACAGGAATCGTCCAATCTGAAACGAAGAACAGGGAAACAAGCGTATAGAAGCCTGAAAAAACCAAACTTAAGCTTTATCAATTGTATCTTCGATGACACGAAATCACATTTAGTGCACAGTGTGTGCATTTATTGTATTTATAATTCTGTGGAAAGAAATACTATGCATTACAATGTCAAACTGCTTCCAGCCCGCCTGAGTGCCAGGCATTTCAGGCATTCCTTTCTACTATGCACTGGAAGTTTTACCCAAAGAAGTGTGGAGTTTATTTTCAGCCATGATTAACATATTGACAAAATTTAGACCCAAATAGCATGTGCTAATCAATGATAGGTGACCAAGTACAATGGGAAGTTTCTTGGTCTAAACATATTGAATGAAAAATTTACATAAATGATGCACACTGGTGCTCCAGCACCTTTGTCACTATGATTGTAATTATAGCGCAGTGTATATTTAAGCCTTCCTAATTGAATGTTATAAGTCATCCATACAAAATTCCTAAATGCTTCATGTGTCAGAAATTTCCTATTTGTTTTTTAACATATTTTTCATTTCTTAAGTAGAGCAACGTTTGTGTGGTGCCGTTGTGGTCCAGCATTAATGAGTGTTTGCATTAATAAATTTATGCTTCTCTTTATTTTTGTTAAAATATACAAAGATAAGTTTATTCAACATATTTATGAACCTACACTAATCCCCATGGCTATGAATTGAACCACGAGTGAAGGACCCTCGCATGCATTGCATAACAAACACACACAAAAAGGGAAAACTAAAAAATTCAGTACAAAAGAAGAACAAAGCAAAATGGCAGTATTAAAAGGGTATTTTTTCAAAATACTGCACACTCGGCATTCTTGACGACTACTTACCCCTACTGAAGCGTGGAATGGCCAGTGAGATATTTCAACATCCTTCGAGGAAAAGAAAGGACAAGGATTTACAAGTGACAGCACTGTCATTTACAACAAACGCAATGAACTAACCTTCGGATTTCTAGAATACTATTGATAAGGACATACGAATACTAAAGTTAAAGTTCAGTACGAAGCACTAAAAACTAATCGACCAAGGTGTTCACTGTTGAAAAAAGTCTCACCTCTCACTTTAGAAGTATGCTGTAACTGGCATTGCAACTTCTCCTGTACAGTGACAGGAACAACAATTTGCACTTCAAAGAGGAATGTCGATAAAGTTCATTTGTGAAATATCGTAACCTGTTCCCACTCCTGCCTAGGGCTTCGCACAACCGTAACAAATACATACAAATACAGCTACCGTTATGTATTGGTTCTTCAAGTTGAACTCAATGCCATGCATGTACAGTGGACTCATGGACTCAAATAATAATTTAGAGCAATGTAACCAACAAACTTCATTCATGTAACACTGAATTGACTTGGGTGAGTTGTTTACTTAGTAATGTAATTACAGTGCGGCAAAGTTACAAGTGAAAATAGAGGCAGAAAACAGCACTGACCTCACGACAGGTTAAACCAGCACTGCACGAAGCTCGTGCTCTTTCCTGTTTCTACTTTCCTTGCCAAATTTCTTGTGCCGTACCAAAGTTATTAAACATTCAGTTCATGTCGAATCAACGTAATTTCGACTTGAACACTTACATTTGAGCGAACATTCTAAACTGCATGGCCTAGTCATCACTAGCAACTGCACAAACCAGTTCCTATATAATACTAGAAGTTTCTGTGAGCACAGTACATTCATTTATATTTGGCTGCATAAAAAGTCGAAGCACGAGAAATATCTTGGTGACTAAATTCTAACTGTTATAAAACATGAAGTAAAGAAGGGTAAACAGCCTTTGCAGTTTATAACTTTTACCCACTTTCAGGCTCTACCAGCCCGAAACTATTTCGACAGTTTCTGGCATCGCAAAAAAAAAAAACACGAACTGTGGAATTAAATCTCTCAGTATATTTATTTTTGCCCCTGCATTCTGCAGGCGACTCCTTCAGCGATATTTGGGCAGCGTATGGCACCATTCAAAGCATTTTCCGGCATGCAAGCTAGGGTTGCCACTGCAGGTTTCACAGAAAAACAGAGGTGCTGTCTCCACCGCCATCGTCATCGTCAATCACTTCTGTCGAATCACTGCATCGCTGTCTGGCGAAGGCGCGTAATTCTTTTCCTCACTACAGTAATTTTCACTTTCACTAAGAGCACCACCGTGAAACACACGCAATGAAAGTGTGACCATGCTTCTCAGCGAACCGTGCTGGAGTGGGTGTGCTCTAGGTTTCGTGCTGAACATAGTGCTGCACCCTAGTGTAAAAAAAAGTAAACCTCAACAAACTAAGCTCACACATTCCTCAAGAGATGTCGCTTCATGTATTTTAAAAATTCGTGCAACTTGCAGTGAGAAAATTGCAAAATTTAAACCACAAGAACCCTTCTCAGCCGGTGCCCGACAGCAGACTGCTACGGCCATGTTGTGTTGTCAGGTGCTGCCCGACAACAGACCGCAAAGCGTTCAGGGCTCATTTTCTTGTTAGAAAACAATATTAATCAGAACTGACAGACAATTATTCCGAGGAAAGCATAGGAGATATTATTGGAAGTAAATATATTGCTAATGTGAAGAAAGAAAAGTGGACGAAAAGATAACTTGCTGTGAGCAGGAACCGAACATGCGACCTTCGAAAAACACGTTCGATGCCCTACCAACTGAGCTATGCACCAGCTATTTCCCCATGAACTGCGGCGAGTGTGGAGCACTCATTTTCGTCTATTGATGTCACGTAGCACGTGATCTTCTTACGAGCTGGCAGCTGACCAATAATTCTTCGCACACCAACTTAAAAGCCCACTCACCAGGTTTGACGATTTTGAGCTGACAAGCGCAATGCGTAGATGGGGCGTTCGGAATCACGTCTTCCGAAATTTGCAATGCCACGCGCCGCGTAAATGGGTCAAATTTTCAAGATGAACCCTGCTCCCCCTTCTTCTCGCGGGCACGCGCACCCAGACAATGAGGGCCTAAAGTGCACGTATCAATAGCACTACGTACGCGGTAGTGCAGTGACGTTGGTCCTGTTGCGTAGCGCCGGACCGATCCCACAGCTGCCACCACTGTTGAGAAACGACGGACCGATCCCGCCGAAGCCACCACTGTTGCGAAAGACGGCGACGCCGACGCGGTCCCGGAGGCGCCACTGCTTTCGACCCCGCCGGGAAGGTCACCAGCCGTTTGGTAGCGTATGTTTCTCAGCTCGCGACTGCTTCTGCGCAGAGCTGAGGAGACGAGCGGACGAGACGACGGTGAGTTAAACAAGGTTTATGTACAGCATATATACAGAGGCGTTACAATTTCGGCACTGGGGCCGGCAGAGACTCGAAGAGCCGAGCTCCACTCTCTAACACATAGGTCAGCCTTTCGCCTAGAACCGCTGACTCACACACATGTCGGCACTCCGACACGGGGACTCCTCTCCTAGGACCTCCGATCGCGACGCGCCGCAGGGCTTCTTTTATTTGCACCGGGTCCAACCAAAAAGTCCAATCAGAAGCGCCGCCGGTCGTCCGGGCAGATTCCGCCAATGGGGGTCGCCGCGCCATGCGTCAGACCACCAGGCACGAGAACGCCGGCTCGCTGTCACGTGCGCCGATGACTCAATGCACGTGGGCGAGAGAGGCGCCGCGCGTGTTCACGCCGTTGAGATGTTCGCGTCGGGCAGACGGCGGGCTGGCCTTGACCCAGATTGCCTTTTTCAGAGGCACGGTCGTTTGACGAGGACTCGCTGGCATAACAGCACCCCCGCCGCCAGACAATGCACCGGAAAGACGAGCTGCTTCCACGGGGCTCGGATGTCAGGTGCGCTCGTTCGCCTGGTCCCTCCAGGTTCGCCTCCAGGGCCATGGGGAGAATACAGCTCCAGACTGGTCCGGGAACACATCCTATTTTTGACGACGGATCCCAGCTCCACTGGCTTGTCGCCACAACTTGCTGACCAGCTTCACTCGTCTCTTCTGACCATCTTCGGGTTCAGCACTTGTCGATGGTTCTGCAACTTGCTAAGAACGGTTCGACAACAGACAACACACGACACAAGCAAGTGCCCTCGGTCACCCGACAGAACACCAGACAAAGTATAGTACAACATATACCTATCTACGTGTCTATCGGAATTTTGTTCCCTCTACATCAAGAGGCACATGTGGGACAAAAGACCCCTAAAATGACAACTCAATTTTTTTTCCACGTACAACAACGTAACGGATTAGAATACCACATAAAGTTGGCCCCTTGAGATCACTCTGAACGAGAGCGCTCAGGCCAGGTCGTGATGAGGTCAAAATTTTGCCCCGAATCGCCAGCCAGAAACCGAAAGGTTGAGAAGGTACTAACTAAACGCACTGCTCAATGCACCTGCATTAACGTTTACCTTTCCTTTTTTTTTCTTTAGCGAACGTCAAAGTTGCGCTGTGGAGCAACATGCTCCACTTCAGTAACCGGCCACTTTTAGGCGACGATACCTATGCGGCACCAAGAGCGGCTCACACTTTCGACGTTGCACAGGGGAACAACGATACGGCTTGCTACGGATTGACTCCTCACCGCTTAGCTCGATGTCGTGTTCGATCACCCTCATGTTTCCGGGGCAGTCCGAAAACACGTCTTCAAACTCGGAACCAATCTTTCTCAGGTCCTCTTTTTCAGGTCCTCCTTCACTTAAGCTAGGCTCTAGGTTTATCTGCTCCTGAATTACTTTCGATCCCCCTTCAATTACCTCACTAGAACTCAAATTTTCTGCTTCCTCTTCCTCTGAAGCATTCAACAGCTGATTTACGACCGCTTGATATTGAACATTGGGTTTCATCAAGTTGTAAATTTTGTTCTGCCGCCTTCCTACTTGCACCTCATAATTTGTATCGCAAGGCTTCGATAATACTTTGGCGGGCCCTTCCCAATCAACCTCAAGCTTGTTCCTTTTGGATGGCTGCAGCCGCATTACCTGATTATCAACTTCAAAAGCGCGCTTCTTCCCCGATTTCTCGTAGTGCTCCTTCGACAGCACTTTTGCCGCGTTTTTCTGGCTTTCCACGAGCGCTTCAATTTGGCTTTCCACTAGCGCTTCAATCGAGAGATCCTCACTCTGCCCTCGAATGAGCGTCTCTCGATCAACTCTCGGCAGCTCGCTCCAACTTTCCGCTACAGGCGAGAGCGTTGCAACCCTCTCGCTCTGACTCAATGGCGCCACGTCGTCTCCCCCAGCGCATACCGCGCCGGCCGCTCCCGCGACGGGCCGCTCGCGTGACTGCTCACATGACTCATGCGGAAAATTTCCTTTCTGGGGTTCCGTCGACCCGCCGACAAGGTCACTTGAGAGTTCACCGCATGGAACCAAGTCAAGCTTCCGCGAAAGCTTTCGCGCTTGCGATCGCGTGAGAGCCATGCACGCTAAGTTGGGGAAGAACGATTTGCCCTGATCTTTGAGAAGCTGCTCTGAGTTGTTGGAGAATAGATAAGGAAAACGATCATTTAGCGCGGCAGACACAGCTGCTTCGGTGCAAAGCTTACCGAACGGGCCTTCAATGACAACCGTGGCGATTGGTAAGCGAACACTCTGCACCTCGGCGACTTGCCTAATCCACGCGCATTCTCCTGTGAAGTCATCCGGAGACACCAATGAAGGATGGACAACGTCCATGGTTGCCGCTGAGTCTCTAAGTGCTCGGCACGTTTTCTCATTGACCCTAATTTCTTGGAGATACGGCTCCAACAACCGAATGTTTTTTTCTGATTCTCGGATCGTTGCGAAGGCAAACTTTTCCTGACAGTTTCTCGCGATGTGCCCTTCCTTTTTACAGTTGTAGCAGATTAGCGGCTTCCGTTTGTTTTCCGGTTCTAATGCCTGTGTGGTAGAAACCTCACTCGATCTCTCCGCTTCTGTTTGCCCTTCCCCTACACTGTCCTTCGTAAGAGACGGGTCCTTTTTGAAATTACGGTGCGGAACGGGTTTCCGTTGATCAGGTTTCCTTGAAAAGCCCTCTTTCTTTTCATCCTTTTCAACGCGCACTGCCCTGCTGTGCAACTTTCGGCGAGTATAATACTCCTCAGCTAACTCTGCTGCCTTGTTTAGCTGTACTTCCCCAAGTCTGTCCTGCAGCCAAAGTCTGACATTGTCCTCGATGCAGCGGTAGAATTGCTCCAATGCAACGCATTCCACCACTTTATCGCGGTCGTCATAAACACCTTCGCCCTTGAGCCATTCAATTAAATCGGCTTTAAGACGAAACGCGAAGTCAACGTGTGACTCATTCCCCTTTTCAGCATACCGGAACCTTTGCCTGAAAGCCTCGGGTGACAACTTATAACGTCTCAAGAGCACTTCCTTAACCTCGTCATAGCTCTCAAACGCTTCCCTCGACAAGCAAGTTAATGCGTCGGACACTTCGCCGGGAAGAAGAGCTAGCAGGTTCCGCGCCCAAAGAGACCGCTCCAAAGCGTTTCGCTCACAGACGTGTTCAAACTTGACGAGGTACTTCGCCATGTCCTCGCCTACTACGAACGGTGGCAGTTGGTCCCGAATTCTAAAACCGCTGACCTGAATCGTCGGAGAAGCTACGCTAGGCGCCTGCGAACACTGTAGGATTGCCAATTCTAGTCGTTTCATCTCGAGGCGTTCCTGTCTCTCGGCCTCCTCGCGACGTTCGCGCCTTTCAGCCTCCTCACGTTCGCGAGCTTCACGCCTTTCAGCCTCCTCACGTTCGCGAGCTTCACGCCTTTCAGCCTCCTCACGTTCGCGAGCTTCACGCCTTTCAGCCTCCTCACGTTCGCGAGCTTTTCGCCTTTCAGCCTCCTCACGGCGTGCTTTAATATCCACCCAGGCCTCATCGACTTCCTCAGCCGACACTCCCTCATCCTTCATGATCTCAAGGATCGCTTGCTTTCGTTTCGCACGGCCCAAAGTTATGCCGAGTTCCTCACAAATTTCGATGAGTTCCTTCACTTTAAGGTTCTCCATCGTTCACACTAGCCTCTTGCTGTTTGCCCCTGTTAACAATTTACTTGCCGTACCCACTATAAGCCTACTAGCAAGACGCGCAAGCAATTTTTTTCACACTCCCGTGTTTACCACCTCCGCATTAACTTTGGTTTCAAAGCACTTCAACTTGGCTTGAAACGATCAAAGCTCACTCGAATGCTTCACACAGCCCTTCTCTAAACTACTACAACCTGAGCTAGAGTAGTCTGGTGAACTGAGGGGAAAACATCAGGCACTCACCGCATCGATGTCGCTGACGCCGGCCGATCCCGCAGCTGCCAACCACTGTTGCGAAACGCCGGACCGATCCCACAGCTGCCACCACTGTTGAGAAACGACGGACCGATCCCGCCGAAGCCACCACTGTTGCGAAAGACGGCGACGCCGACGCGGTCCCGGAGGCGCCACTGCTTTCGACCCCGCCGGGAAGGTCACCAGCCGTTTGGTAGCGTATGTTTCTCAGCTCGCGACTGCTTCTGCGCAGAGCTGAGGAGACGAGCGGACGAGACGACGGTGAGTTAAACAAGGTTTATGTACAGCATATATACAGAGGCGTTACAATTTCGGCACTGGGGCCGGCAGAGACTCGAAGAGCCGAGCTCCACTCTCTAACACATAGGTCAGCCTTTCGCCTAGAACCGCTGACTCACACACATGTCGGCACTCCGACACGGGGACTCCTCTCCTAGGACCTCCGATCGCGACGCGCCGCAGGGCTTCTTTTATTTGCACCGGGTCCAACCAAAAAGTCCAATCAGAAGCGCCGCCGGTCGTCCGGGCAGATTCCGCCAATGGGGGTCGCCGCGCCATGCGTCAGACCACCAGGCACGAGAACGCCGGCTCGCTGTCACGTGCGCCGATGACTCAATGCACGTGGGCGAGAGAGGCGCCGCGCGTGTTCACGCCGTTGAGATGTTCGCGTCGGGCAGACGGCGGGCTGGCCTTGACCCAGATTGCCTTTTTCAGAGGCACGGTCGTTTGACGAGGACTCGCTGGCATAACAGTCCCCTACGTAGACGACTGTGCTCTGACGTTGCCAACAGTGGCACATGACATGGAACAAATTATTTAACACGACATGCATAGTTTATTTAATTTGTTCTTTGAAGAGCTGAATAAAACATGAGATAAATAATGAGATGCAATAAGGAAATGTCTTTGCGCGTCTTTGTTCCATTTTTTCACGTGAATTGCAATGAGAGGCGGAGATAATGTGCCGGCGTTTCACATGAGTCCGTGTCCCTGTGGTCAGCACATCGAGCAGACGACAGCCGTGGAACGCTCCTACGCGTTCGCGCACTGATTGTGCTCATCTATTCTACCCCGTCTAAGCCAGTGTTTCCAAACCATCCAGCAGAAACAGGCAGTAGACCATAAAATAACACTAGTCAACAAAACAATGCTGCTCGCGTGCTTGGGGGTTGGGCTTGCTCGGGCACGTCATGCGCACGTGACCTCTTGATCGGATGCTGGAGAAGGTAGGGAAGAGATTTGCCTTGCCAAGGCTACGCGGGAAAGCGGCAAAGGTTTTAAGCTCGCTTCCTCTCAACATCGTTTCACGCCGCTTCAAAAAACTGTTTTCACTGCTTGTAATGAACCGATTGAAAAAATTTTTGTGGCATAATGCTCCTCATCGGACAAACAACAACGTCCACGGTCTAACTAAAATTTGTTATGGGCCTGGTGAGTGGCCCTTTAAGGCAATAAGTCTGGCAGAACGAGACCCTCCTTATGATTGAAGGAAAGAAGTGTAAACTGATGGGCTCGTTTTCTTTGTTTACTCTTCTTTCCTACATTCATAACAAGGGTCTCATTCCGGCAGACTTGGTGCCTTCAGTACCTGTCACTCAAACCTTCTCATTGGACAGCCTGCCAATGGCTCTAGTGGTGAGGCACATCCATTTGCAGCGACACTTAAGTCTAGCTGTCTGACTGGGGCTTGAGGCTACAAGTTGGTACAACCAGTTACAACATGCATATTAGTGCTACTACAGCCTCGCAAAAGCCTTACCAGAGAAGGTCCCTCGCAGTTCTCGATCCCAATCCCCTGCCACCACTCACGCGGCGTGCACTTGCTCCACAACTCGGGCTGGAGGCAGTACTCGAGATACTTGTCGTACAACGTGCTCACCTGAGATACACAAAATTGCCCGTGTTACCCGCAGATGACTTCTGACAATACCCAAGCGAAAATCTATGAAGAATGTACAGCACAGTTCAATACTAAAAGGAGCACTCAATCCGTAGTTCACTATCAATGGCTTAGAATTGCATGGACTGCTTTTTGAAACATAGAAATCAGCCCCATGCATACCATCAGCAGTCTTTCTCTCTTGATAAACAAAATAAACAAGTTTCGCTTTGTACACAGCTTTGTTATCAACAAGGTTGTAATCTTCTGAAGAGTAGGCCAGGGGTCTCAAACACACAGCTTGCTGGCTTTCGTTAGCAGCCCGCGGCTTCCCAAAGAACAAAACCTTTACAGCTTCCCTAAATGGTATTTGAATTATTCTCTCACCTATTGCGATCAATAACGGTTCGCTCCAGTTAGACACAGATATGCCACTAGCGTCTATTTCAAAATTTTGGTCATTCTGGAGATCAGCAATGAGAAGCTTCTCGAAACCGGGCATGAAATCTCGTTCAGACATAACCCATATATGAGATAAGGGGAAAAGAGTGTTTTTCGATTGGTAAAAAAACTTGGTTCAAATTTTTCCTCTCCTCCCTCTCTCCCCGTCTGACTTTTAGATGCGGAGCATCTTATACTCGCGCCTTGTAGTGCGCCGTCCGCGCCGTCCGCGCCGTCCCCACCGCTTCTCGAACATTCGACAGCTGACGCGCGCGCATGCGCCGTCGCGCCGTCGCCCACTCTTCCACCATCTGTGCATCCCTTCCTCCTCTACACACCGTGCGTGCTTCACTCCTCCACCATCTGTGCACCCTTCCTCCTCTACACACCGCGTTCGACATCTACAATTCTCCTGATTCTCCAGTGGACGCGCATGTGGCGTCGCGCTTCGAGAACATTCAACAGCTGACAGTGCATGCGCCGTCGAGCTGTATATATACTCAAGGTCGGCGCTCGCTCGCTCAGTTGCCGCTCGTCGGTTGGTTTGTACGGCGCGTCGACGTCCAAGGTCGCGGTGAAATGAATTCCAACGAATCCACAAACACAATGATCGACGTCCCTTCGACCAGCGCCGCCCTTTCGCATACGTGTGTACGTGTTCACTCATTTAACACCCCCTCCTACAACCACGTTAACCAATTTAGCCATCGACCCAAGTAAGTCGCAATTTAACACCCCATTTCACAACCACGTTAACCAATTTAGCCATCGACCCAAGTAAGTCGCACTTTAACACCCCGTTAACCAATTATATGCTCCGCATCCTCCTCAGTGTTCCCCCGAGGGAAGCTGCGGGCAATTTTTTTTCGCTGCCTTGGCCCTTGTTGGACAAAATTTTGCGACCCCAGCTCGCTACCTGACATGAGTTTGAAACTCCGGGAGTAGACTGCACATAATTATTCTAACTTCAGGGTGCCAGCTGAACAGCATTTGCCTGGCTTTTGTTTCTGATTTGATACCAGAATATTTCTGAATTGTTAATCCTAATATAAGTTCTGATGACATACAAGCAAACTAATTTTTAAGTTTTGCCTGTAAAGATGTCTCAGGAATCAAGTAGTATAAAAAAATCTAAACTTACAACCTCTAACGTCCCAAAATAATGCACCCACTATGAGGGGCATGCCGGTGGGCAGCTCAAAGTCAGTTTTTGACCAGCCACCATGGCTCTTTCAGTACTCATCCAAATACACTCAAACCTCATAGCAAACTTGCATCTTAGAGTAAAAAAATTTGCTATATACAAAACTTCGTTATAAAAGTATATTTTTGACACAACATATATTGCGAGACTATCCACAATTTACTTTATTATAGTCAATATTTCATTTTATCTGGGTTCGTTACATCAAGCATTGAGATTATGACCATACCAGCCCTCATGCATTCTGACTCTTAGGTGCACATCGCTATATCTCGAAATTACGCCGCGCTGAGCGAACTAAGGGAAAAAGTGGTGCGTTGCTTGCTCTGCACAACGCAGAAACAGATTTCAAATATTTAGTCAAGAAAGTCTCTCTGAACAACCATCTTACGTGGCAGGTGCAGTAGCGCTTGTACCAATGCTATTAAACTAAACTAAACAGAACCGACCTTGGATGCAATTCCGTTGCGCTCCTTCACGGCAGTCATGTACCGAGTCATCACCTTGACTCCAACACCATGATGCAATGTGAGCAAAGATGGACTGAAAGTCTCTGAAGACATGGCCAGCGCTCGAACCTCCTGAAAATGAAGATATATGTGGGCAACTTTCATGAACCCAAAAATTTGAGTTTTAGAGTAAATTCGTAACCTAGATTGAATTTTAACCATTGACATGTTATTTTTGCATGAAATCATATCAGTCTCCTTCCAAAACTTTTTCTATGGAAATTTGTGCATATCAATTTACCAAAACTTGTCACCGCAAATGTAAGTTAGCAAGTAGAACAAAGTCATACACATTCAACTACAACACTGCAAATGAAGATGCATGCATTGCATATGGACAGTCATAGTTTAAGAAATGCCACAGCACTTATTTCTAATTTAAAGGTGACAGCATTGTAACACTGAAAGAAAAACGGTCGCACCGTACGGTGAGTGAGCCTAATGGTGAAATTTTGCTGAGGTTACCCGCTCGCCTTTTTCTAGCTTATGTAAAAAGGGCAAAAATCATGCCAATAGCTGAAGAACTTTTTAACCCGGGAGCTCCGCTCTAAATGTCTGAAAATGAATGCGCTGTTTCACTAGTTATCAGCTGCACTAAGAAATTTGTAACCATAATGAAAAGGCTAAAACATGAATATTTTAGGAAGATCTTTTACTGCAGCCATATTTTTCTTTGTCAGAGAAAAACTGCAACAAACCAGTGACATTTTTACAAAATTAAATCATGGTAATTCATACTGTGTAATTCAATATTAAATGATATAACTTTATAAAATATTGAAAAGATCTAGCCTGTACGAGACTGTTATGACAGATTGTTCTGAAATCTGTGAGATAATTGCAGAACTTTGAGAAACAATACAACAATGGTCAGTAAGCTTAGAGTTGTTTGTTTTTTAATCATGACTGCCTGTCTGAAATGCTCTAGCATAGCACTTATAGTTATACGGAAGTGTGACGAATCTTTCTTTATGACTCAAAGGTTAAGACTTTTAAACGTGGTACTTTATTCATTCTTCTAAACCCATAAATATCTTACTATTATTGTAAAAATTATGAAGCCCTTAATGAAGCTTCCATTTCTAAAAGCTCACAGCAGTGATCTTTTGTTAAATGCCAGCAAATTATGTTAAGATCGCTCGAGCAGTTTCCTAACCAGAGTATTGTTGTATCGCGCGCATTCAAACGGGAAAATCATAAGTGGACCAGCGCTGCACACACATTTCATGGAAATCACATGTAGATTAAGAGAGCAAACATTCACCTGCAGCATGATGTTCACATAGGCATCAGGCTCCAAGACACACAGATACGGATACAGGGACATCCCGCGGTGCACTGGAAATCAGATTACGGACAAATTTCGGACAACTCAAAGCAAATATAGAAACCATCCTGAGAGTGCAACAAAACAAGACACACGGGAAAAGAAGGACAAGGACAGGCGTGTCGTGTTTTGTTGCACTCTCACGATGGTTTCTATGTCAAAGCACCAGCTCGCCCAACAGCCAACTCTTCCCACAGCAAATACTTTTAACAACAAAGTACCGGAATGTCACGACTGCTGTTGTGAGGCAGAAACACGTGGCTCTATAAAGGCACTGACGATACTCAAGGGGTAATGTTCATGCCAGTACTCCAAGTAATGAAATGGCATATTACTAATGTAGCACACCTACAGGTATTATTGTAAATGAACGAAGTGCAAGAGAACTAATGAATTGAAAACACCTCAAATGCTACTCTAGTGAACGCACTTCATATAAAGCTGCAGTATGCTTTTCTCGCAACAAGACTAGTATAAGATGCGTCCCTTTTCCAGATGCCACTTCTCTCCCTGAGGGTTTGAAAATAGGTAAGACCAATTAATAACAAGGTAGGAGGAAGCTTAGAGCGATCTAAGAGCACTTACTGTACGCATGACTAAGCAGTGACCTGGTGTTTTTCACAAAGGCGTCCTTCAGCTTCACTTTCCACAATGCTTCCAGTTCCTGCACCTGTTTTCTCTGTTGGCAACAGAGAACAGCACAGAAAGGCATCAGCAGTGCGCTTCGTTCGTGGGAATGTAACAAAAATCGACAAAAAAAAAATAGACAAGTAAAAACAAAGCAATGCAGCGGACTTAGACGACATGCAGAAATGCCAAAGAACAGAGATATGATGGTGGGGTAACAGCACTACAGAAGAATCTTGTCCATATATGTTCAACTACTTGCATTTTACATTTACACACTTGTCAACGTTCTTGGTCACCAGCCCCAGCGAAGAACTTACAGACACATTATGTAGGTAAAATTCCTATTTGCAAATCCCTTCTGGAAGGGTATAGTCAAGCAAATTGCGAACTGTCGCAGTGCTGGATATGCTGAGGAGATACGTCAATGAATATGGCAATGTGGAATGCCACATATCTATCCAACTGGTCGAAAAGAGTCTGGTTCTGGCAGAGGCACAAAAGAAGCACCAGACTTTTTTCAAAGACTCCTTTAAGCCTTAATTAATAAATGAATTCTTTTGAGTTGGAGCTGCGTGCAATGCAGTTAGAACAGCGTGTTAGTAGTTATCAGTCTGCCAGGCTAGAGCGCATTTTTTTCAGGCTCCCATGAAAAACTTAAAAAAAACACGGGGCAGGGGCGTAGGCTGAAATATTTTTTTTGGGCTGGGTGGGTACATCGTCTTGTATTTGAGGGGGGGTGGTAGGCAGGCAGATGTGGTCAAGTGCCATTATGTGTTCTATATACCATGGCGAAAAATATTCGAGGGGGGGGGGGGGCACAGGCCCAGTGTGGCTCCCTCTGGCTAGCCCTCTAACAAGGGCTTTTGCTTTATCAAGGAAGATCTACCGACACAGATACCCAGGGTAGTTTATAAGGTGTCCTGCATATCTTACATATTAGAAAACGACAACAGAAAACTTATTCATCCGAAGCATTTCACAATAACTCAACATGGGCGTCGGAATATTGGACTATGTGATTGTGACTTTATTGGCACTTTATGATAAAGAGATAAGTTTTGTGACAATGTGTAGCATCACAACTTTGTACGACAACGATGCCTCTTGGCCACTATCACCTGAAGAGCATAAGCAATGGCAAAATATAGTGCCATGCTTGAAATACTCATACAATGTTATGATCAATCACCTAAAGTTGCTCTTGATAGGTTATTATTAAAGTTTTATATTTTCAATATTTTTCTAGTTAGCAGATACTGCTAATCATAATCACAATGTCTAATAAACAAACATTAACTCCTCTGCTATTTATAATCACTTCAACTTTTGCACTCAAACTTCCGGCATAAATCTACACTCCTGCAAAAGAGTCTTAAGAGAAAGTTGGCATTCATCAATCTTTATTCCTAAGGGCACAGCAAAGCTTTGTGCTATTCTATTCCTTTACAATGAAACTTCCAAGTGTAAGACACTTTTAACACCTCCTGTAATCGAGCATGAATAAAGCCGAAGACAAGTGCTGACCATCTGAACCACTTTGTCGGAGGGATTTGTCAGCTTCGCCACTGACTGCACGGTGATTTGGCCATCAGTCTCCAAGCCCATCTGCTCACGGGCGCGCTGACGAAGTTCCTCCACGGTGGGCAGGTCACCCGGAGTCTCGTGAGGTTTGTGCTGCAGCAAGAAGTATGGAACACCTTAAACAAAAGTTTCATTTGCTCGAATCGCCCTAGAAGGGGCCTCCGGTGTTAAAGGCTAAACGTGCGGAGCTAAGGGACAGTATGACGTACCAGTGTCGTTTGGTTCTTCAGCTTGCGCAAGAGCTTGCAGTCGTAGTTTCTTGGGAACGTGGATGGCTCGGGCACAAAGTCGGGCATCACCTTTTGAATGGCCTGTTGAAAACACAAAATTATCGGCACGGGAAACTAAGATCATCAATTATCACTTGCAGAAGCATGAGCTTACTTAATATCCCCCGCAGCACAAAGCATCTCACGGAGAGACTCAATTACTGCTATTTTATATTACCTCAACCCATTCTTAAAGACAAAATTTTTTCTTCGGTGACCCAATTTCACTATTCTAGTAAACACCAAAGATGCAGTCAAAGTAGTAGCATGCCCCAGCTCAATTCTGCACATTAATCTGTGACTAAATCAACGAACATATGACCTCTAACCATCTTGCTATCTCCTACATAGACAGCTGTAGTTCTTGCTCATTGAACAATCCATTGCTTTCTTTCGTAATTTACATCAAGATCAAATGGCATGTCAAAACAATCTGATTGCAAACATGAGCAAGTAACAGCATAATCACAATGACACCAATTCCTTCAGACAATAACAGAAGTAAAAAATAAACAAATTTTCACATACTCAATTCATACCACTTAAAAAGCAACTACACGAAAAGTCCAAACCCGTCATAAAGTAGTCTGGATACACAGCAGCCTTATGGCAGAACTAAGCTCAGAATAAAGCATCAAAATAAAGCTATCAGAAGATCATTTGTTTGACTGCCGAATACAAACAAAAAAAAACTGCCGTTATCACTTGCTGTTAATGGTGATAAAGCCAGAACTCTGAGAACCAGTATTCGCCAAGATGCCTGAGAGTGACAGTGAGATCAAGACACTAAAGTCGTTCAAACGTCAGCGCATATCCCCATGTGTATGAGTCACGAGTGCTCTTTAGAGCCTAAATAACTGTAGAATGACAAACCCTTTTGAAGTATAAAGGTAAGTGGAATTGTATATGTTGCTCCTTCAAAGCTAAATCAGACAAAGTACAGAGGATTGAACCTTTGGTTAATTTTCCCTTTGTGAAAAATGAAAAATGAATGATGACTCAAAATGTTACAGCTGCTTTCCTTTAAAAAAAATAAGCAAAAGGATACCAAAAAGACACAGCAAGTCTTACCTGAAGCACATGCTCCCGCGTACTTCCGAAGAACTTGCAATCCTTGAACAGCTGCTGAAGGGTGATGTCCTAAAACCAATGACAGTAAAGAAGCAATTAACATGCAATGGTGTAGGAAAACATCTGTGCACCATTAAAAATACCTTTTACGTATAATATCTACTCCTCGAATTTTACAGTAAAACACATTTATTTCAAGTAAGGCAAGCCATACAGGAACTGTGGAGCTATGATACAGTATACTCCCCAAAACACTCCCTAGATGCATTGTTTTCATAAAACGGTCCCCCGGTAGCACCTAACAACCTCGAGAGTGCAACCAAAATTGGCAAGAGGGCCTTTTGAAAAACCAAATTAAACTACAGAGCTCATGTTCCTTAACCCTACCTCGATCTTCTAGTAACTTAATGTTATCCCTATCCCATTTCATTTTTTAGATCATTGCACTGTTCTTCATGTTTTCTCAGATATCGTTGCCAGCCTCCAAGTCTCCATTGTGTGAACAGAGTGAGTACAACCGTCGTAAAGCACTGATACTGGTAAAATTGAATAACAATCAACATATTGCAACGTGCACAGCAGTGGCGATGCCTGCGCCTACACAAACTAAGTTCTTTTAGGACCAGTGAAGGAAAAAGCGAATGCACTCCATCCACATTTGGTTCTTATACAGCGTTTGTCCAGAAAGTAGAAGGACTGAATTTTTCCTGCCAAAAACTTGGTGAAGGGGGGGATGTTCCTGTGCTAGTTGGGTGGTAGTAAGACTTAGCTACCAGCGCACCAATTAGCAGTTGTCTCCAAGCTTTTGCCGAGTGTATCGTATAAACCGGACTATCGGTCGAGTGGGAATATAGCTCGACCCCCAAAGTTCAGGTTACCTAAAAAGAAAAAAAAGAAAGAAAACAACCCAAAATCGCCGAAGGACATTTATTTGCGAATTGGGAACACCGCACCCAATCGTCAGGAGCTCCCCTCTACCACCATCGCAACTGCTCCTATTCGTCAGGACGAAGCCCCACTGTCTTCTGAAGACGAGAGTTTGTCGCTGGCCGCCTCCCACAGTGCGTTGTCTTCCGTGCCATACAGCGAGTTGCCGATAGAACATTTCTTAAAAGCATTTTCCACCATAAAATCTGGCAAGGAATGCCAGGCAGGAAAGCACCCTGCCACAAACAGTCGCAAGCGGAGGCCTATGTACGCGGCCCGTCAGTGTCTTTGGGTTGTCGCCGGACATCCACTCTTGGTACTACAGCCGCACTCGGTCTTTGAACGGCTTGTTTAGCACAACGTTGATCGGTTGGAGGGTAGACGTCATGCCACCTGGTATCTCGGCGAGGTCCGTTTTTCCATCGCCCAGTGCGCGCTTCACAGCGTCGGTTGAGTGACCACAAAACTCATCTAACACCAGCATGCTGCAAAGACGCAGCAGTGCACCTGGCTGACGGTTCCGAACTACTCGTATCCATTCGAGCATCATGGCCTCATCCATGTATCCCTTTTTGTTGACGGGAATGACAACACCGGGCGACAACACTTCTTTCGGCATTGTCTTACGTTTGAAAATGATGAAGGGCGGAAGCTTTCTATCATCTGCCATGCATGCCGGCATGACGGTGAAGCGCGAGTGCTCATTGCCAATGGACAACAGCTTCATATCCTTGGCGCCACGCCGCATGATCATGGTCGATGAAGGCATGTCAAACCACACGGGAGTCTCATCGGCATTGTCAATCTGCACCATCATGTAGTTGTTCTGCTCCCGAAGCCAATTCACGAAGCCCTGAAAGTTTATAAGCTTGTCCTCGAGATCGTCTGGAAACTTCTGGCAGATGGATATGCGCCACCAGAAAGAAGATCCTTTGCGTCTCATGAATAGACGTACCCAAGAGTTTGGCGCACGAAATTCTCTCGTGAGCCCAGCTTCTTGAGCGAGTTCCACTGCTTTCTTGCGAATGGTATCCACGGTCACTGGCAGCGAGCAGGCATGAACTTCTCACACAAAGTTCCCTAGCGTACCCTCCAGCTGCGGATGAACCGTTCTTCACCCACAAAATGACATTTTCCGACAATTTCACATCTGCAGCTTCCCTTTCTGCCCCCTCCAATAACGCACGCTTTTTTCTAATAAAGCAGCGCTGAGCAACCATATTACCATTCACTTCTGCGAACTCAACAACCTCAAGTTTAAACGCAGCTGAGTACTGCCTCCTCATACCGCTACTCATATTCAGTTAACGAAAAAAAGACCACTAAAAATAAAACACAATTTCAAGCGGAGCGACAACTTAGAACAGATTGGAGGCAAATCACGAACACAAAAAAACAGACAAGAGAGAAAAAAAAAAACAACCTGCTATTGGATTTGAATGCGAATACGCCTGTGTCCAGCTTCTCATGCACATGCAAGCTACATGTTGCCAGACAGCGGTGCACTGTCGGCTCGACACCGCTAGATAAGACGAGGGGCGACTTTAGCTCGTTGTTTTATTAAAAATATCTCGACTTATATTCCGGTACGGTTAAGGTCAACCCAACCTAAGTGCCTCGTCATCCCCACAATATATTTTGTTGGAGAAGCATTACACAGTGAAGGTTTAGTATTCAAACTAGGTAAAACGACACGGGAGAGCCATGGCATGGTCGAGGCGGCTGATGGGAGTAATGTCATATGTTGATCGAGTGTTTTCGAGTGGCCCAAATTGCTTTGCGAAGGAAGAGAGCAAGCTGAAGACGAGAAATGATCAGGACGCCCTTGAACGCCAAAAAGTCATGACGATACGCCCAGCCACACTCCGCTAATGGACTTCCGGATGAAGCATGGCGTCACAAAGCTTCCCCAGCCTGCTACCCCGCAAACCTGATGCCACTTCTTCTGACTTCTACATCTTCCCCTGATGAAAACAGGTCACCAAAAAACAGCACAATGGCTCTGTCTAGGGCATTTAAAGGCCATAACAAAAGAGTTGCAGAAGATTCTGGTTTCTGCATTGCAAGGAGCCTTCAGGAATGGGAAAAGTTACTGGAAACACTGTGTTGATGCAGAAGCAGCCTATTTTGAAAAATATTAGGTTGATGTGTCAGAGTTGCGAATAAATTTTTCGTTAAAAATTTGTGCAATGACTTTCTGGGCAGACTATGTATGCTCATTGATCAGTTCTTCAGTCAGTGTAATGGTAAGCGGCTTATAAACCCATTCAGTTAGGAGAGGACAAAAAGAGCCTTGAGGAATTCAGCGAGGGACTCACGTGAGCCTTCATTTCCTCGATGACTTTCTCCACATTTTCCCGAGAAATGTTGCGCTGCAGAGCGAGGCACTCAAGAAGAGATGTAAATGTGGCAGCGTTTGGCTTTATGCGATCATGCTCCATGGTGTGCATGATCTCCTGGACACGAGACAACTTTCCCTGCAAGACAAAAGCTTTGATAGGTCACGAAACACAACGGCAACAAAAAAGTAAAGTGCAGCATGATTCTAGGCATAAATCATCGAAGCGAGCCCCAATGTCAAAAAAACCTCCGCGACACTGCACACCAGTTGCGAGAACAATAAAAGCCAGCAAACTGTAGCATTATTTGTTCTAAAGAATGAGTCTCACCTTGGCAGCGTAGCCTCTGATGAGAGAGTTGTAGATTCCAATATCGACAACGGTAATGCCTTTCTTCTGTTCCTTACTACGATTTCGATGGTAGTGCAGTGCAGACAACGCCTTGTCCAGCTGAAAAAAAAGTTTCGGCAATGATGAAATTCCTATAGAATTGCCAGCCTTCTCTGCTGCACTGTCCTCTAATGAGCTCTGCAAGGTGCCACAAGTTTCTTTACATCTATGTACTATTAGAACTCACTCAAGACTTACGAAATATATGTTGTCCATGGGACACCCTTGGACTCAGACACACCAAAGTTTTTCTCAGCGTACTCACTCAGACTCACGAAAATAGAGCTCACTCAGACTCACATAGAGCCGTGAGCCTGAGTGAGTCAACTCATGAATCTATCAGCATACATGTTTATGTACTGAGAACACCATTGTACGCTGGTGCCAAAACGGGGGCCCGCAGCTTCGTCAAGCTATCCTTGCGATGGCTTTTTCTGCCGGCCTCCGGCATTGTGTACTATGTACATGATGTCAATAAAGTTCACTGTTCATAAAGTTCACTGTTCACTGTTTATAATTGTAATTGTGTCAATGCACTTCAACACCAATATATTTATCATTCGGTACTTAATATACGTGGGCATTTTTATTGAGTTGACATGAGTACAAACATGAGCAGACGTAAGACTGATGTGGTAGAATGTGATGTGATGCTGTAGATAGAACCATACATAGACAAAAAAAAGTGTTTACTCAGACTCACTCCAGCAATACATTTTGCACTTGGGGCTCACTCAAGACACTCACCAAATGTTTTCTCAACTGGACTCACTTGGACTAAGACTTACAACAAATCTTTCTCATGAGCTCACACAGACTCAAACTCACGGCTCGATCTGAATCTGAGTGAGCCGACTCACGGGTAAGTTTGCCGACCATTGATCCAAGTACAGTGCGACTACCTAAACAACACTCATTGAAGGGGTCATGGCAAGACCCAACAATTAGTGGTCTTCAGTACCAACTAGAACCATAAAGTTTATTATGCCTGTGCAGATAAGGAAAGTTGCCATAAGAGAACAGTTCAGTGCAAAGCAGGACCTACAAGCCGCCAGCTGTAACGTCACATGACGTTTTAGCTGGTGCCTGTGACGTCACATGCAGCAAGAAGCAGAACCATAGTCTTCTGTTCTAATTTCAGCCACTGATAATCATTCAGTGTCAATGCTAAAAAGAAGAAAGCTAATATCGTTCGTTAGAATGCAGATGCTCAATCAGCCAGCTGCTTGTAACATCAAAGCTCAGTCAGTGTGCAAGTGTTGCCCAATTTTTAGGCTGCTTGTGTGTTTATAAGGATACTCAATTATAAACTAAGTGCCTTGACTAAATACAGTAAAATATCTCCAACTTATTCGTGAATCACAAGAATTAATCCACATAACACAGACTATGATAGACAATTGAGTGTCATGGCCCCTTTATTGACTACGGTTCCGCACCTTATAAGGAATCCTCAAAGAGCCATCCTTAAAAGCGGCCTCACAACACCCTCCGAAGCTATTATCATAGGTCCTCACTAAAAGGATTCGGTTATCTTTGAACGACCTCACTAAAGAGGTGCTGCTGAACCGCAACAATCAAGTTAGAAGGCTAAACAATAACGAAGCTCGTCAGCTACAGCTGTATACTCACCATATTTGCATGTACACATACTTCGACGAAAGCTTGCATGCTCCTGCGAATCTGCATTTCCTGTGCCAGCTTATCGAGGTCCGCCTTCTTAATCTTGGCCACCTTATCGTGCTGCGAAGGAGTCAGCCGAAATGTGAACGAATCAGTCTTCTTTTTGGATGCCGATGAAACCGCTGGCCTTGATGTAGCAAGCTCTTCCAGTGGTCCATGAAGCTCGTCTTCCGTCAGATCCACGTCGAAACGTTCAGCAACGTGAGGTGCAAAGGGCAACACATGCGGCATGATGTCTGCATCGCCTTGTATGGCCACTAAGTCCTCTACCTCGGCAGTTAGCGGCTCTGTCGAGAGACACTGGCTCGAAGTCGATGGCACGTTTGAAGTTGTGACGACTTTGTCCTGTGAGCATGGTGCGACATGCGGTCATTGTAGACAGCTCTTTACTAAAACTGAACAACAATTCAGAGCAACAACAAAGCAAAATGATGTTCTTAAATGAAACCAGCAGGGACCAACAAATTGACTTTCATGAAAAAGGAGTTCCACGTACTAAGAGGCAAACAGGTGTGAAAATTTCAAGTACAAAACCAATCATATTAGAGGTACTTGTTGCACTCAAGCAGAAATTCTGTTTACGAGATTTTTACCCAGGGTCTACTAAAATGGGGCTACGCGTGAAAAAAACAGAGCTACAAAGATGGGGCCCGAAGTGCTGCTTTTTCGACTCCTAATCATGAACCAGCCAGCTCAAATGCATAGTCTGCCACAATTGATTGTCTACTATATTCAAGTTCTCAAGGTTTCTCTCCCACTCTTTTTTTAGGGCACCATAAGTGGACTAAAGTCCCCAAGTAGGTGCCAGTTCAACAAAGAATATTTGTGAGTAGAGCAAGCATAGCACAAAACTTGCTATTCTACAGCAGGTATCCGTGCCGCCTCTATAAAGCGACTGGGATAAAAATTTTCATTACAAAATGTTCATATTTTTCTGAATTGTGGACCCCATAGAATATGATGAAAGTAAGCATTAGCCTTCTGCGATTCCAATATATTCTGAGACTGCTTTGTCCAAAAGAAACATTTTGTCACTTTCATTATTTCTAACTTCTTGCAGTCCATTGAAGAGGAAGGCAGCTAAAAGTAACTAGCATGAATATTAAAGCTGATCAGATATGCCCTGAAATATGCTAGATGCCCTGAAATCCTATATTAAAACTCTTTTATGTGTGGAGTGGTATGCCGTGATGATGTGAGCTCAATCATGCATTAGCAGTGGCTAGCTCGCTGCGAACACTTACGTGTGATTGAAATTAGAACATGCATTACGAAACTCTAACCCACATTTGTTAAGACAATAGTCAGCTTGAAATGATTCAACACAAGGCCACTAGATTCATTTTTGATAAATATAAAAAAGATTCCCTAGTGTACTCATGATCCCAAAGACAAAATATTTGCTTTGCGTTACCGAAGGAAGTTTTGTTGCACAACATTTCTTTCTAACATAATGCATGGTAACTTCAATATAAATGATTCGCCATACTTTTCTTCCGTTACAACTCAACAGCCAAGACACACTAACTTCATCCAATGCGACCAATTTTCACCAAAGCTAAAGCATAATTTTTTTTTCTCAGAACTATAGCAGACTGAAATAGACTTCCAAATTCAGTAATTATGTTGGCAAATTTCTTTGTCCCTGGAGGAGCATGTTTTATTTTACATAGAGTCTTTTGTTAAAGCAAGTATTTTATTTTGTTGAACCTTAATTGTGGGGTATTAGCTTTTGATTCTACCATTGCATGAATTAAGCAATCCTCTTACTTTATTTTATTTTTTCATGTGTACTGCCCCTTCTTCTCAGGCCAAGTTAGCCTGCAGTATACTTAAATAAATAAAAAAGTAGATGCACATACATTAAGAATATGTATAAGTGAATCTTTATTTTATCTCCTGTTTCACCAAATATCCTTAGTTCCCTGAACGCGATTGAACTGACCCCAACTTCCACACAAGGATGTTACAATACTGCACCATGCGTGCTTCACAATACTTATATTCCAAATTGAACTGTAAATATCAATCATCCAATGGAACAAAAATGGGATGCTACTTACGTAATTGTCTACGGTGGACACTTCAGTGTCATAGGCACATTTCTCACAAGTGATGGTGCAGCCAGCGCAGTTAATTGGCAATGATATAACGTTACATGTAGACGGAATGGTCAGTATAATTTCCTTCCTATGGTAAGTGTTTCCATTCGAAAGCTGGCCAGTTCCTTCTAGTTTTGTTTTGTGTGCTTCAAGAACTGGAAGGGAAGCAGTCAGTTCATGGTCAAACTGAAATTTGCCCTTCGAGTGCATTTTCTGGCTCAGAAAAAGGTGAATTAAAAGTTAATTGAAAAACAACAGGCTACTTACTACAGCAGAAACAGCATGACCACAGAATGAAATGAATTCTCACATCACTTAAGAAGCATGCACGGCTTTTAAAGAACTGTTGTAGTTTGTATTTAAAACATTTGTACTTCTACGATGCCACAACCAGCTAAAGCAGCTATGAATCGCTTTTGCTTTGCGTTTCGCCGATGCAGGCCGGCATTCGTGCCATGTCGGCAATGACAGACGCGTTGAATAATTTACTTTGACCGTAGTTATGTTCACGTCATAAGCCGGCATACCTTTCATCAGCTCCCTGTATTGATTTCTCCTCTGCTTTCCAACTTTCGTCTTCCTCGTTTTTGGCTTGTATGACGGTTCTGCGCTCGTAGCGTAACGCATCGCCTGGCTCCTTTCTGCAGCTGCGGTGTCAGGGTGACAAGAGCGAATTACCACGTAAGATAACTCACCACTACGTCTCAGTCATCTGATATATCACTGAAACCGTATTTACACCTGACACCACAGGAAAGTAGTCATTGATTCTAGTTCAGGGAAAACGGAACGACCTACCGCTGGGACACTGATGTTCCAAAAGCGTCCTAGCGACATCTTCGCAACGAGGGCCACCCTGATTGTGAATTGCTGAGCAAAGAGTCCAGAGAAGTCTTCGCACCGAACGCAGATGGTCACAAGCCAGCGAGCCCTTTCTGAAAACTGAGTTATACATTACAATTGAACTTCACGGACTGTTGCTAGATGCGCACATTCTTAGCTACACAAGGGCGCGGCCATATTTTGAGTTAGCGGCGATGCCGATGCGACTACATCAACTACATGGCTTAACATGGAGTTTCCTGTATATTAGGAAACTCTATGGCTTAGAGGATTCTTCAAGGACACAGTCATGGTGGTTTCGGGCAATAGGAAAAAATGCAAAAGAAAAGCACTAAGAGTGGTCCTCAGCAAATTTTTTCAAGTTAGTCAGCAGCATGGAAAGTATAATTTCCTTAGAATTTGTCAGTATTTTTGACAGTACCCTTTACAGTGAGTGTTTGTTTGCACTTTTTAACCGTAATGTGTAGCTCTGTATCTGGTAATTCTGAAATTGAATTGTAAATGTTCTAATGCATTTAATAAATAATGGTAGCATCGTTAACTGAGAACTATTTTGCGTCAGTCCAAAACTACCTAAATGATGATGATAATGATGGTAAGGTCATGCGATTTGTAATAGGCGGGCATAGGGTGGGCACATATTTGCACACTGGCCGATGGCATAAATTGTGAAGAATGAAAAAAAAACGTCTAAAACACACAAGGAAAAAACACACAGGCCGAGTTTCCGCGCCTCTGTGTCTTTAAAGCCCAGTGCAACAGCGAGAGCTGTGTTCTCATTGGGAGAGTTCAGTTGAGTACGTTCAGTCACGATGTGGTCGGTGGTCCGACACCACGCTGACGAGTTCGCTGTCGTAGGTTCTTTAACGGACGAAGAGGGGGGGGGGAGGGGGGCAAGATCTGCTCTTTTTACATTGACTAAGGGCGAGTTGCCCTCCTAGCCACGTAAGAGGGGGTGGTGAGTGGGGTGAAATCTGCCCCATACATTGACCTAATATGGAGGGGGCTTATGGATGGATGGATGGATGGATATGGCTGTACCCTTTAGATCGGGCGGTGGCTAGCGCCACCAAGCCGTAATACTTAATGAACTCAAAACTATATTTATTTTTTTTCCTTAAAAAGTGAGTTTGAGGATTCGTACTTTGCAGTGAAGAGTTTAATTTTCTCTCGTGCCTTGACTTTAGCCACCAATCAGATAACCTCCTTCTAGTTAAGTCTACTTGCTTAAAGTCTATTTTGCCCTCCCGGTCCCTAAACCCCAGTGCTTTGAAAAACTCTGCGCCATCATCCAGAACTATAGGGTGAAGCCCTTTACAGAACATTATCAAGTGTTCGGCAGTTTCTTCTTCCTCTCCACACGCACTGCATACTGTGTCTACCCCTTCGTATTTGGCCCGATATGTCTTGGTTCGCAGTACTCCCGTCCTAGCCTCAAACGGTAGAGAACTACCCCGAGTATTATCATAGATCCTTTCCTTGGCAATTTCCTGCTTAAATGTTCGATAGATCTCTAGTGCGGACTTCTTAATCATGCCCATTCTCCACATGTCAGTCTCCATTTCCTTCACTTTCTTCTTAATCGATAGTTCTTTTTGGTTTGGCCACCTGCTGTTTTCTAAGTATTTACCAGTCAACTTCCTGGTTCGCTTCCTCCATTTTGTATCGACATTCTTCATGTACAAGTAGCTGAAAACCTTCCTAGCCCAACGCTCTTCCCCCATTTCTCTCAATCGCTTCTCAAATTTTACCTTGCTGCTAGCTTCCCTGCCCTCAAATGATGTCCATCCCATATCACCTTGTACTCCCTGATTTGGTGTATTCCCGTGAGCTCCTAAAGCAAGCCTACCTATTCCACGTTGCTTAATTTCTAATCTTGCTTGAACTTCTGATCTCACTGCGCAGCGATGCACGCCCTCTGGTGTCACACAGGACCTCCTCCGTTCATACCCATGGCGATGTCGCGAGGTGCTGGCAACTCAGCTAACGTCCATCCCTAATATTCAGCAGATTCCTTCGTATACCGGACAATCAAACAATGAAGTTTCAAATTTAGGGTCACAGGTTTTCTAAGCACATCAAAATACGGTGAGAAGGACTTCTTTCACCAATTGAAGCACCGACCCTGAAGTACATATTTTCGCATTAATCATGACTAGGACCCCTCACATGACGGCCACCGCAGCCATGGTTTCGGTATGTGACACAACGTTGCGAGGAGTTTAGAAGTCCTTACTATGTTTGCCGGAACGCTTTCATTGTCCAAAAATGGCACGGCACGCAAGCAACTATGTAAAAAAGAATCAGTACGTTCGCGCAAGTTTCTGGTGGGTAGATCATCCCTTGTTCAATACCATGATGCAATTTTCGTCACCTGTCAACTAGGGTTGTCTACTATCAGCTCTGTCAGCCATCCTGCAATAATAATTGTTGAGGTGTAACGTCCTAAGACAAGAAATGGGGGATAAGTAAAGGCATGAAGGTTAACCAGTCCACGAAAGCCATTGGGCCAAGAATGGTTATGATTGACAACGTAGCGGACAGCTCACGGAATTTCGACCACCGTAGGGTACGCGGCACGGGCCTCAAGCATTTTCGCTTCCACTGAACATGCGGCTGCAGCGGGCACTCGAGCATCACGTGCACTAGACTACCGCAGTGGGTTTCAAGACGCCTTGCTGTCGCAGAATCTCGAGTGTTCTCTTCGCTGGACAATACACACACACACACTCTATATATACAGCCAAAAATAGGTGATACGATCACGGCTCGCATGATTTTCGGGGTAATACGGGTGATACACGATAACGATGAAAAAAAAAAATCCGCAACAGGGCTTGGGGACAATCCCTGTTAAGGGGTTTTTTATTTTCATTGCAAGCTCCAATCTTCACCATTCTTTCTCTCTCTCTCTCTCTCTCTCTCTCTCCCTCTCTCTCTCCCCTCTCTCTCTCTCCTCTCTCTCTCTCTCCCCTCTCTCTCTCTCTCTCTCTTTCTTTTTTTGAGTCACGAATCTTACGACCAACGATACCACACGTGACAGCGCATACCAGCCGCGGGCGCTCCAGAAATTCCAAGAAACAATCCCTTCTTCTATCCGGGCCCTTCCGGCCTCCGCAGTGACGTGTGTGCCGTCACAAAATCTGTGATGCGTAGTGCAAGTCATGTTGCGATTGGTAAAGCAGGAACCTACGACTTCCGATTAGTCTGCAAGCATCTGCCTGCGCTCCTTGTTCCACGTGTCGCGGTGGCGGCGGCTTTCTCATCTGGCGCAGAAGTGCTTTGGAGCGGGGAGTCCCTGTACGGATCCATTATGTTGGCGATCCTCCGGAGGCGCGCGCAACATAGGGTCCACACCGGCACAATTCGTAGGAGCAAGGACCGGCATGGCAACAGCGGTTATAGCTGACAAACACGGTAAAATTATCATGGTTACTTGTTCGTTGTAGACTAGTGCAGATTGCAACTTTCCCACCACCTACAAGTCCACCTCTGGGTGGTTTAGGGGCCCTTTAAATGGGTCCTGCAACACTTTTCGAGCATGGTCAGCAAACACTGCCGATCGGTAGTAGAGGCACCCGAGAACACGTGATCCAAATGTTATAGCGCAGCACGTGGCCTGGAGTCCACAATAAATCATCAAAGTCAGCTAAAAATTGATTTCTCTTCCCTCAACAAATGACGGAATACGCTCAAAAGTAACTCGTACAATGCCCAACTATCAGCCATTGACTGATTTGAACATGGCGCGCTCGGTTGTTACAGAGATCGCCGTGGGAGGCCGTCACTTGTGCATGCGTGCTGCGTGCCCGCGCGATCGCACTGACCAAAGCCGCGTATTCGAAGAAAAAAAAAAGAAATAGTGCTCAAAGTGACGAGGCGCGCGTGCCGCTTTTGGTTTGCCCATCCCTCCCGGCTTAGCTTCCAGCGCTTTCGTCGAGACGAGAGAGGAGAGAATGCGATTGCAGCGTGTGACAAATCTTTGTAACTGCACTCGTCTTCACCGTGCTCCCGACAGGATTGCAGAAATTAGGTGCCTTTTCTCATCTTCTAACCACTACCACCACCACTAAACGGATTCTTAAAACTTTTGTGGCGTTGAATTTGTGAGGCAATAAGCTCTTCCAGTGAAATAATTCCACGGTTACTCAGAAAGGTGTTTCATGGCCGCTTCAAGATAACATGATGAAACATGGTCGTTACCGAGCGCGGCTGCGGAAAAGCGACAAAATATACGCGAGAAGCATTATACCTTATTTAATCTTCTCACGAACGATCAGAAGCACCTTTTTCCCCCTATATATTGGGAAATGTCACTTTCTTTAGAGAGTGGTGCCCGTACAGTGGGCATGTGCCATGTGATGAAACACCTTCATGCATTGAGGTATGCTCACAATAGCCTGCTGCGATATAGAGTATGTATAACGCCATAAAGGATTGCTCTCTTTCGTGTACAGAGCCGGGGGCACTGCGCTCGACAGCGCGATGCCTTGAGGAGCTCAGCCCGCCCCAAAATTCAGCCGGATGCCCACATGCAAGAAATGGACTACAGGCGTTTCAGTGTGCTCGCTTCGATTATCTTCGTTTGTACTGACACAGGTACGCATCACAGCTGTGTTCACTCTCATTTCTGTATTTCTTTCTCGATAACGGTTGCTGCTATGCACGAGGAACGGCCAATGAGTTTTACCTTCGCTTGAGCAGCGATCGTCGTCTGCCCTTGCTCGCTTTCACTGGTACATAGAACACGGCGACCAGAAGTGCGCCGGAGTTCCAGTTAGATGACTGATACCACAATA